TATTAGACACGTAATCTCCGAAACTGTTGGAACGATTGTTGTCAAATTTTGTACGTATATTAGAAATATCATGTAGATGGTTAAATTCTAACCAAAATTTGGCTAATCATCCCCACCAACAATTTGATGACGTCATTTCAATGAATTGCATTTTAAAATAATTTGAATGTTATACAAAATTCACTTCTATACTGGTAGTCCACGAATCCGCTTTCAGTTTTTGCGCTAAATAAAAATAATTATTATGTTAACTCGAATTATGAATTAATGACTTCAATGAAAGTAAATAGAGCAAGCAAAATTCTGCTTTCAGACAGAGAAACACACAATAAAGATTTTTTTTGATAGTCGGACAAAAATAGAATATTAACCAATTCGAACGTAGTTTTAAGAAACAAAATTTTTAAATTCTAATTTCAAGTGTTTGATTTTGAAGAACAAGTAAAATTCGTTTTGAAGTGTACTAATTTTAAAAACAACACACAACTCTACGACATGCCTTGGCATACTAAAAATTGTGAGAACAAAATATCTATATAGAAAAATGTTCTAAATAGAACGAACATTTTTGGAAAATGACGTGATTAGAAAGTAAAATAGCCAGAAAATATATGGGTTCGAGTTACAACCTAAACTAAATTTTTTTTTTAATTTTTCATCATGGATTGTTTTTACTTTTGCTTTAATGAACTATCGAATTTTCAAAATTTGGAACTGTACACAATTTTACACCCAGTGCAGGTAATTTTGATTAATAGAGAAAATTGATAGTTAGGTTTATAATTTGCACTGTGAATAAAGTGACCAAATCCTTTGAGCCTAATAAACTTAGAAGTAATTCTTATGTAAATAAAAGGAAAAAAAATTGGCCGAAAGTTGTTTCGACAGAACTTCCCTTGCTCCTGAAATACAATGATAATTTTCTTTGAGTCACCTGTATACGCAAATGCAAAAAATATTAATAAATCACTCATCATATTTTGTACATTTTAGATACGTTTTATTCGGCAAACTTTTGAGTTGACGTCATCAATTTTTTGGAGGGGACAAGCAAATATATTTTGAATAAAAATTTATTATGCTCTTTATAATCTTAAAACACCTGCAAGATTTCAAAGCATTCGGTTTAGCAGATTCAAAATTAAATTGCAAAATGTTGTTTTATAATTTTAATTTTTTTCCAACAATCTGGACGTTTTGGGCAAAAACTTTATTCGGGGTCATAAACTACTTTTTTATTACTATGTTATTTTATACAATTTAAAATCCATTTGCTATATTCAATTTTGAAGTGACGTCATCGCATTAGTGGAGAGGATGATTAGACAAAGTTTGGTTAGCGTTTTATCAGAGAACATAGAGAAGCGACATAGAGGCTGATTTTGCAAAACCACCCTTATTGACATTGGAGTCCTCAACCGCCAACGGCAAGCGCCAAATTTAAACAGTCGATGCCAATAAAAACCTTGGTTCACTATAATTGTAATTCGTGTGACTTGAATGAAAATGAAGGAAACAGTAAGCAGCTTGTAATATTCTGGTAAATCTAGTGTCAATTTGTCGAAAGTAAAACGCGTCGTTAAAAATATTGTGACATTTCTTCTAGTTAATTTTATTCCTAGTTAGAACCAAACACTGCTGCCAACATAAATTGCGGAGTCCTCAACCGTCATTTAATTTAAACTATAGCGCTTCTCTATGTTCTCTGGTTTTATCATCTACAGTAGCGGCTCGTGGTCTTTTCGTTAGGTGAGGCAACAATTTCGTTTCAAAATCAGCAGGTATTAATTAACATGTTGGCAATTACTTTTGTTAAAAGACAGATTGTTTATTCGTTTTTATGAAAACAATACAAATAGCTTTAAGTTAGTAACATATCTCTATTCTATATGGGTACACTTCTCGAATAAAAAACATTTAATTGCTTCACACAAACCAACAAGAAGGTTTAAACACTACAGAATTTGCTTTATTAGCATTAAATATTAATTCATATGATCTAGGGCTAATTTAAATATATTAATCAATTAATTAATAAAGTTCTCCTCAAATCTGGATGAGAAGTTCTAAATCTTTGACATATAGTTGTTCGTCGTAAGAAAACCGTGCTTAAATATTTAAACTTTATAAGAAATTCTGGAGATTATAGATTCTTATGTTGCCATCAGCATTGCAAAACTGACATTTTTATTGTCCTACTGTGTTCAAGTTAACTTTAATACATAACCTTGGCAATTCACATGCAGTGAACACCTTTCCTCGCGTGTAATTAATGCACAACTAAATGCACACTAAATGCATTCAGCATCCCTGTTCAGCATTGTGCAGTTTCACCGTGAGATTAAAAAATCCGATCTGATTGGCTTAAGGACAGTAGGCGTTGGTGCCTCCACTGGCGCTTTGATAAAGCACTGATGACTATTGTCTTACTCAAAAACATATTAGCACCACTGACTAATCATACTGAAGATATCCGTCTATCTGAGGCATGCCTCATCTGAAGCTGGCCTACACGGCAGTGATCAGCGCTTATTCCTGTCGAAAGCGCGTACTTCAAAATATGTTACCAAGACGCGTTTTAATAAGTCACAGTGTTCCATAAAAGTTATTTGCTATATCTTTAAAATATATTTGAAGTTAACAGATATTAAAACAAAAACTAATAGTCAATTTTTCCAGGGGAGGCACTGCCTCCCCTGCCTCCCCTGACGAGCCGCCACTGATCATCTACATGATATTCCTAATATAAATACAAAATTTGACAACACTCGGCCTAGTACAGTTTCGGTCAGAAAATCTTGGGCAGTATTTTTCTATCATTTAAGAAAACACGATGTATATAGTGTATGCTTTATTGTCATAATGATTGACAATTTAAAAAAATAAGTTCTACCGTACGTCATCATCCCCATTCCAGTCTAGGTCAAAATGACAACATGGCAAATTTGAGGTTATAAGTACATAAAGCCTGTTTTAGGGCTTATGTCACTGGAAGTACAGAACTGCCCAAGATTTTGTGGCCGAGACTGTACTTTCGAAGATTATCTGTCTAATAAAAATCCGTGACGGCAGACAGACGGACAGACGGACAGACAGACAGACAGACAGACAGACAGACGGAAACGGGAGACCTATTTCTTTGTCCTGTAGGGGTCATGAAAGGTCGAGAAAACGTAAAAGTAGAGAGTCGGCCGACGGGCTCGATTACAATACTTCGTTCGCTTACGCTCGGGAAGTAAAAAATCCGCGTAAATTTTAGAAAGGAAAAAAGTAGAACCTGAATTTTGAGGAATCAGAAAATATGTTGTTAAAATGGGCAGGAGGTAAATAAGCGTTCATTTCTTATCAATTTCTAATAAATGTATTGTTGGTTGCATATATAAACAGTTTTGGGATATCCAGGAACGCGCTCTGAGTTGCCGAAAATTTCATGCAATACATAAAATCGTTTTCTAATGTAAAATATTTTAATAATCCTTCAGTTTCTATATGTTCATTAGCATAACATAAAATGTAACATAATTTTTAAAAAATTGTACATATTTAGTTTTAATTTTAATTTATAAAATAATATAATGATCAAAATTTTTGTTAGAAAGTGAAATGTGACGGTGAACACGAAGTTTGACAGTTGATTGTCTAGCGTTTACAGAAATCTGTAACTCAACATTCCAAATTTTTTACATTTTTTAAATTGCATCTGACTAACAAAATTTTCCTTTAGGCAGTTTTTTTTCTAATAGCAAACAACTTTATATGGATTCTATTTCTACGACGGTCCAGGTAATTGTCCAGACTGGTCCAGGCAGGGAACAGTGAACTCCCGTTTTACATCCCCACCCACACCTAACTTTCAATTTTCAATGCCCAGGCCCAGCGAAATGAATGACTGACCCATGGCCAACTCGTGAAACTAACTGGTGCCCATGAACCACAACAAAGTTGAAACGTACGCAACCAGAGTACCTATAACGTGGTAAAATACTCCCTGCACTAAAATCTTGTACATTTATTACTCAAGATACTGAAGCAGTTTTAAATAATGTGAAGTAACAAAATTTTACGTTCATTTATGACTACAAGAAAAATTAAACGAAAATTCATATGTACAGTTGAATAAACGAAATGTCAAATTTGACAAATTTTGTTATTCGAGCGCCCATGATTTGAAGATACATTTACAATAGAGAAAATTATCGTGCACTTTTGGGGGGGCCGCAACTGTATTTTCAAAATTTGTTGTAAAAAAAGAACTTCCGCTATATCGTACAACACAATAAATTTTCATTTTAGTACACCACTGTCGGGGGGATTAAATAACTGAATCACAGGTAAGAGTGCATATCACTATGCAACACTTCAAAGTCCAATGCAATCGATAGGGTGGTTTGAATATTATTACAAATGCAACACGCAAACAAATGAGCAACTTGCATTTTTGTATTATTCGGTCTGTGGATGGTACAAGAAACATGAAATAGAACATTCATCAAAATGAATTCTAGGATACGCACATCTGTCACCACATTGTTTTTACCACTCGAAAAATTGAAGCTTTAAAGTTTCCAAAAACTAATCATAATTCATTCAAGTAGGGAGAAAATACGTAATACTTGTACGTCTGATATAGATAGCGCATTGTAACAAGGTGGAAAAACCTTGATTAATTGCTAGTTACTCAATCAAACAATAACATAACAAGCTGTAACGAAAATACTGATAATTATCAAAATTCCATTGTACGATTAACAGGAAATTGGAAAAATTTCAAATACGTAAACGTAAGAAAGTTGCAGATATTACAGCACGTCCAAGTTTAGACTCTTAGTAATTTAACATCATTAAAAGTATTATCTGAATGCGTTCGCGTTTCTTTGAATGAAGGATGAGTCACATTATGTTAATTTATCTGCATTCATTATGAGTCAGAAAAGGAATACCGTGACCTCTGAGACAAGAACAGTAAGCAGTGGTACATTTGCGAAAATGATAAGAAACGATATAAGAAAACAATTTTATTCACTTGTAAGATACAATAGTTATTATGGAAAAGTTAAAGCTATTACAAAGATAGGCAACTCGCACACATCACCTAGAGAGTTGTCTATAAAAATTAGTTTTGTTTTTTTCTGGGAAAGAAACTAATTATTTTACAGCCATTAACTTTACCACAGTCAATAAAGTTAACGATATACTTATGCACCACGAAAAATATTTTGATAGATTAAATAATAATGTATTACAAATAAATCAAAAATAACATTACAATATACTAATAATAAAGATACATTTGATGAAAGTGGACACATTTAAATATTTTGTGCTTCGACACTTCCCCGTCCAGCTTAATCCGTTACTTTATACACGACGACAAAGTGTTGTACTGGCGATAACTACAAAGTCCACAAGGGAAGGAATTCGATATACTCAAACAGAACAAAAGACAAACTGAAGGGGTTTATTATATTAGTGATACATCAAGCAAGCCCCTCTGGAAACGCAACAAACTCGCTCAAAGCAGGGTGCAACGATGCTTCTTCTTCTTCTTAACCTGCAAAGCCGCGCGCGTGGCGTTCTCGAACACCTCCCTCACACCCTCCTTGCTCTTGGCCGAACACTCCAAGTACGCAAAGGCGTTGATCTTCTCGGCCATGGAGCGCCCGTCTTGTGGCTTGACGGGCTCCTGCTTCATCTTCTTTAGCTCGTTGATCGTGTTGGGGTCGTTGCGGAGGTCTTTCTTGTTACCCACGAGGATGATTGGCACGTTGGGGCAGAAGTGCTTCACTTCCGGCGTCCACTTCTCCGGGATGTTCTCCAGGGAGTCGGGCGAGTCCACCGAGAAGCACATGAGGATGACGTCGGTGTCGGGGTAGGACAGCGGCCGCAGCCGGTCGTAGTCCTCCTGGCCAGCGGTGTCCCACAGCGCCAGCTCCACCTGCTTGCCGTCCACCTCGATGTCGGCGACATAGTTCTCGAACACGGTCGGCACGTACACCTCAGGAAACTGATCCTTGCTAAAGACGATCAAAAGGCACGTCTTGCCGCAGGCGCCGTCGCCCACAATCACCAACTTCTTCCGAATCGCAGCCATCGGACCTGCCAAAACACCACAGTCAACGCCTATTCAACAGCCCCAAGATGGCGGACGTGAGGCAAGGATCAACCGAATCGGGGAGGGGCGGAAAGCTACTGCATGCACTGATAATGACCTTTTCCGGAGTCCTCCGAGTCCGACCAACAGCAAAACATCCAGATCTTATTTTCCAAGGGAGTTGATGGCTTCCCAACAGCTACAACTGTGAGGGACGCATTTAATTCGCACTAATTCAACACACTCACATAAACAAATCACTGGTGGTTAGGTGGCGTTGCTGGTTTGATTGACATTTGCACATTTGCGAGTTTGCGCATGCGCTTTAGCTGACGGATTCGCTGACGACTTTTGCTGCCCACGGCTTTTTACGTTTTCGTCTGTGACGTACACGCTAGGAATTTGTCTTTGTCGTTTACAGGTAGACGTGGACTTAAAAGTGTCGCAATTTCAGTTATGGGAGTTCAGTCGAGCGGGACAAATTTTAAATTTTCAGACGAATTTTTGTCACACAGTTAAGAATATACTAAAACAATGTTTAGTTTACGATGCTATTATTAATAAATAGTACCATGTCTTATGAGCTCAAATGAGTTGTGCCGGTGTCACTTTTTTGTTACGAATTTAAAGGACCATAGTAGGTCTAGCATGCCACAATAAGTAGCAAAAAATATAAAACAGGCTTTTTATCTAAATCTCAATTTCTTTTCATGAGCAAAAGTTCAAAGGTTCTTTGTTAACTATAGGCAGACTTTTCACAATAGCGATAGTTTGGTAATTTGTCTTTTGGCTTCAGAATTCCCACAATTGCGTCTAGTTCCGGAGGCTAGCAATAGCGAAAATACCTTTAGTATTCATTATTCATTATCGTTAGCGACTAGTATATTGAATCACTTGAGTCACAAAGTAATATGTTTTCTACGTACCATAAAAAAATGTATATTCAAATCTTTCACCTGACCCATTAATTGTAGGCAACTAGTTATACACATTAATGGACAACAATGTTCTATTTTTGTCTTTATTTTTAAACGGTTGTATAATTTTACCAAAGTATTTTTAAAGAAGTTATATACAAATCCCATTTCAAATCAATACATCTCGATGTCCCACTCATGCTAACAGGTTAAATTTGTTTGTAAAGAAATTATATTTTCAAAGATATTTTTGGCCGAGGTACACACAACGTTTTTTAGACGACCATACAAAAAAAATAGGTCGAAGGTTATTTCGACCGAACTTCCCTTGCCCCTGAAGTACAATAAAATATATCCAGCTTTTCGAGAACCCCTAGTGGTTAAAATAAAAATGTGCATGTAATGTTAAAGTAAATGTAAAGAAGCGTGCTACGGTTATACCTCAAATGAGTTTATCCTTTACAAAATTTTGTAATGACATTATCTCATTATCAATATTTCTGCAAGAACACATGGATATCAATAGGGATAGGTGCAGTGTAATACTAACAATAACAGTTTTGTATTCCCAAATTTTCGGGAAAATGAAATGACCCGTTTCTAGTTTAATTAATAAAATAAATTGACTCATTCATTAATTTTGCTGAGTCACCCTGTACAAGCAATACTAAAAAATATGAACGGAGTGATAAATCATAAGTACCTATAGACTCAAAATATTTTGCATACTTATTTTAGGTAGGATTTATTTGACAAAATTTTGAGATGACGTCATACATTTTTTGGGAGGGGATAAAAGAATAAATTTTGGTTAACTATTCACCAACATTACAATAATCTTACAACGTTTGCCAAAATCTCGGAACATTCGGTTTTGGAGTATCAAAATTAAATTTTAAGCAGACCGACAGACGGAAACGGGAGACCTCCTTCTTCGCACTCTAGGGGTCATGAAAGGTCGAAAAAACAGCTTACGCTCAGGAAGTAATTAATTGGTTATGTAATGGGTTTGAGGAGGCGTGGATATTTGATAAAAACTAAGAGGTGCTACTTTCAAGTTCAATTATCAGAAAGATTGCGACCACCAAGCGTAAGCGGAGGAAGTATTGTAACCGATATACATTTATTTTACTGCGTGGAAGAAATTTAATCAATATGAAAACTATTCTTTGACCACATTTTTTCTTTTCCACATCAAATGAAACACTATATTAGGGCACCGGCTTAGCTTAGCCTGTACTTGTGGTGTGTGAATCTGTGTCGAATTTTCACCCTAGACATCCAGAGTTTTTGGAGAAAATTCAAAACTGAATAAAAATATTTTGCAATATAACTTTGGAACTGCAAAACCGATTGCTCTGAAATCTTGTAAATATTTTAAGGTTATCGTAATTATGGTAAATCGTTAAGCAAAATTTATTCGTTTATCTCCTCCCAAAAAATTGATGACGTCATTTCAAAATTTTGCCGAATAAATGTCAAAATGTCCGAAATATGACGAGTTTATACTTCTGATTTATCACTGCATTAATAGTTTTTAAATTTCTTATATAGGATGACTCATAAAAATCAATGAATGCGTCAATTTATTTTATTAAAAGTCGGGAACAGCTCACTTCGTTTTCCCGAAAATTTGGGAGTACAATACTGTTATCATTAGTATTACACTGCACCTATCCAAAGTGATATATGTATCTTTGCAAAAATGTTGATGACATCATCGCAAAATTTTGTTGAGGGGAAACTCATTTGGAACCCCAGCACGGTGTTTTACATTTACTTTAACATTACATACATCTTTATTTTAACTTATAAGAGTTCTCATAAAAAAATAAAAATTGTACATATAATCAAATTCTATAATTTTTCGTAAAAGCTGAATTTCTTTTAATGGTGTTATTGTGTTTCAGGGGAGAGGGAAGTTCTGTCGAAATAACCTCCGACCAATTTTTTATGATTATTCACATCTATCTACGGGATATTGCAGTAAAATAAATTCAAGAACAAATTATTTTTTTTAATAGTTCGTCTAGTTTTCTCAAAATTCTGGGAAGACAGTACTGACGTTATTAGTGTTACATTGTCTGTATGAAAAGTTAATATACTTTCCCCACTAAAAAGGTCAGCTTCTTGGATATATTTTTATGGGCTGTTGGTTATTTTAAAATTTTTCTTAAGAGTTCATTTTCTGATGACGGGTGATTGTGTAGGTTTTTTCAAAATATTTTTCTTCTCCGTGTTGATATTATTAAGAGCAAATCATGAGTAAAAACATATTTTAGCTATGGTCAACTATGATCAACCAGCCATTTGTATGGCATATTTTTGTTAATGAGTCTACGTGAATGAATACCTGCACTAACAATTTTAAATTCCATAAGTATGCTGAATTTTTGTAATTTAATTGACACAAAAATTACGCATTTTGTAAAAATTCAGTAGGTACGTAATTTTGGCAGATATGTGTATGAATCGGAGAAATAACTTGAGACGAAAGGTATTTTTTCTAAATTCCAACATACGCATTACGCAGTTATTTTCACTCTAGACATGTGTTTCAAAACAGTGTAGTACCTATGTAATATCTGTACAAAGACAGTGGTTTCCCCGCTCTCTTCTATTTAGAAACTCATTCATTCGGAACATCACCACTTCCATGAATCAGTCGCAGCCTTGTCACTCTCTTTTTCGTGTTAGAGGAGATTCACCTCCAATTTCCTTTTTTCCTTTCCCGAACTTTCCGATCTTGGGTGAAACGTCCAAATTTTTGCTACAACTGACACGATCCAAACCCGAAAAACGTCTTTGTGTTACTAACTCTGGTTGCGAAAGCCTTCCATTCTATTTTACAGCTTCAACACGAAGCTACAGTGTGTACTAATTTAATAAATTTTTGCTTATTTGTTTACAGCAGAGAAATTTTATCAAAATTTTGAAAAGCCCTCTAAATAATATCAAATACAAACCGTAAAATGTGATGATTTGTAATTTTTTTTTTGTTGCAATGTAGTTACTCATACAAAGTCAAAAATAAATTGTACTGTAAAAGCACTAATCTATTGGAGGGGACCATTGATAGATAGATAGATTGTGGTTAGCGTTTTTCATCTCCAAAATAATGATAAAATGCGCTTGAAATTTTAAAATAATGTATACAAACTAGATTTGCAGTTACATAATCGACAGTATGCGGACAAACAGAAAGAATCGAAAAACTTGCAATTTCAGTATGTCATATTTCACGACAAATTATAATGTCAAAACTAAACTTTTTACATTTGTTAAATTAAATCTTAACGTGGGAAAGTATTTACTTCCGAAATCATTCATATTTTTTTGAGATCATGTGGTCACCTTTTTAGAGGTGTATTAGTATGTTCGATTGTTCTTATACCGAAACCTTTAATAAAACAAATCTCTTGTGAAAACTAAGTATTTTGGATGTATATGCAGTAATTTCTTTGAACAAGTTTTTTACTGTTTTCACACTGAACTAAGTTGTAAATGTTATTTCAAATTCCCTATTCTACCATATAATTTTTATACGGACATTACCTTTGCACTTAATTTACTGCTACAAATTTGCTAGCGATAGTATCTAAAACTGTTCAGATAAGGCTTATCTTTTATCATTTTATTACGAAACAATTCTCGTGCAACATAAAAGCGTCTAATTTTACTTTATCTTTGTCAAGCGACAAATGTAGTGAATTAGTTTATCAGTGTTAATATTTGAAAATGTCCATCCAGAAGAAACTAATAGTCGTAGGTGATGGCGCCTGTGGAAAAACCTGTCTTTTGATAGCATTTGCCAAAGACATATTCAATGCAGAGTACAGACCCACTGTGTTCGAAAACTATGTAGCAGATATTGAAGTTGACGGCAAAAATGTCGAATTGTCTCTTTGGGACACTTCCGGACAAGAAGACTATGATCGTTTAAGACCCATCCAATATCCAGAAACAGACGTTGTTTTGATTTGCTTTTCAGTAGCATGGCGAGATTCTTTGGAAAATGTTCCCGTTCGGTGGTGGCCTGAAGTGAAACACTTTTGCCCAAATGTGCCCATTTTGCTGATTGGAACAAAAAGTGACTTACGAGAAGACAAAGAAGAACTGGCAAAGTTAGAGAAAATGAAGAAGAAACCAGTAGCAAGAGACGATGCGGAAACTGTTGCTAAGAGAATAGAAGCAGTAACTTATCTTGAATGTTCCGCAAAGACTAAATTCAATGTTCACACTGTGTTTGCGGAAGCGGCTAGAGCTACGATTAGTCAAAAGAAGAAAAAGAAAAAATCTAATTGTGTATTAATTTAATTTTAAAATGACAAATATGTGTAGTGATATAAAAAATAATAGAACATTGTAACATTTTGTTCTTCAGTGAATTATGAATAGATAATTTAAAAATTTTTGTTCGAAAGTAGGTCTAACTTTCAACCAGTGGTTTTATTTTTGTTTCTTTTCACAAAATCTTTTATTTGTTTCTTATTCCTTCATGTTTCTCCTCACTTTGTGCTTATTACTACTTCAAATATCTTCTTTATGTTCGCTTCTTCAAAACAGGAAACTGAAAAGTTGAATGGATGAGAAAATGAACAAGTATTAAATTTGAGTAATTTCTTCTAAAATACAAGAATCTTGGATTAAAGTAACATTATATTTTATAAAGCATTTTACTTACTTATTAAATTTAAAACGCAGTAGAGAAAAGTAATTTTCATCTTAATCTTTATGGAATTTTACTTTTCATAGTTTCATAATAGATGTTCCTATTTTCCCAACTGTAGGTACTTTTATTTTTTTTAAATATTATTTTGATCTATTTCTCTATCAAAGTTAAGATTTTTTTTAATCATGTTGTTTAGCATGACGTCAAATAAAAAATATCTTAAGGAGGTGCTCATATCAAGATAACAGAATTATTTTAACTATGATAATTATTTTCGTGGTTGCTAATTGTACCCATAGATAACATGTTATCTAGTTTGATTAACATAATGAAATGGATGTATTGCTATGGTTACATATCCATTATATCAGCTGATTTGTTACTAAAAATAAGTAACGGGTGTCTAAATAAAAACCTGCTCAAGTCCTATTTTATTGATTTAACGTATTTAGTACATCTCTACATTTGCTGGCACCTGGAATGGTTTTATTTTTTCTGTCGACGTAACAAGATTTCTCGAAACAGTTTTGTCTCCCTAAATTCGCAAGTAAACTCGTCTGGACGGTTTTAAGTCTACTTACTACGTTTTATGAATGGGTTATTCTCAAAGTATTTCCATTCTAACATCTACGTTCATTCAGGGCAAGCTGTGCGTAACAAAAATATGATTGGCCTATTAAAATTTACCATTTATCTCGGAAATGATTAACCTGCTTTTTTCGAAATTTTGGTAAATACTTACTAGGTAACATTTAAGGTTTATTCTCTTTTAGAAATTTGTTCACAACGTTGTGTTGTGTGAAAAATATAGTAGATAAATTGCGCTTGAGGTGCTTTATTACATGTACTTCAACAATATTAGTACTATGTACGTAAAATACGTCAATAAATGAATGTGTAACCGATTTATTATATCAATTGCTTCGAAAATTCGTATTTAATTTCGTCGAAATTTTGGAAAACAAAGTCCCATTATAATTAACTGAGTGTCGATTACCTTCTATTTATTTATGAAAAATACTAATTGTTGTGTTGCAGAAGGGAGACAACTGCTATGTACGACTTTTTTTTTAGTACTTGCACACACATTAGTCATTATTAAAATAGATTGTAATCGTTTATTATCTGAAATTCTCTCTTTTACTACATATCTTTTATCTGGACGTTACCTTTGTATTCAGTTTTAAGTTTTTTTAGCGATAACATTGAAAATTGTGCAGATAAGACAAAGTTCTTGTGAAATGTAAAAACGTCTAATAATTTTACTTTGTTTTCGTTACCCGACAAATGTAGTAGATTAGTTTATCAGTGTTAATGTTTCATAATGTCCATACAGAAAAAACTAATAATCGTGGGTGATGGCGACTGTGGAAAAACTTGTCTTTTAATAGCCTTTGCTAAGGGCACATTCGATTCAAAATACAGACCCACCGTATTCGAAAATTATGTAGCAGATATTGAAGTTGACGGAAAAAACATTGAATTGTCTCTGTGGGACACTTCCGGACAAGAGGATTATGATCGTCTACGACCCATCCAGTACCCAGAAACAGACGTTGTTTTGATTTGTTTTTCTCTAGCATGGATAGATTCTTTGTACAATATTCCGATTCGATGGTCGCCTGAAGTAAAACGTTTTTGTCCGAGTGTACCCATTTTGCTAATTGGAACCAAAAGTGACCTAAGAGAAGATGAAGAAGAACTAGAAAAGCTAGAGAAGTTGAAAAAGAAACCAGTAACAAGAGAAGACGCGGAAGCTGTTGCTAAGAGAATAGAAGTAATTACTTATCTTGAGTGTTCTGCAAAGACTAAATTCAATGTTCAAACTGTGTTTGCGGAAGCGGCTAGAGCTACGATTGGTCAAAAGAAGAAAAAGAAGAAGTGTAAATGTGCATTAATATAATTTTAACAATGACAAATATGTTTAGTGGTCTAAAATTAATAGAAGAAATGAATATTGTGATCTTGAGTAAATATAGTGATGTAAGCAAGCTACAATAATTTTTGTTTAAAAGTAAACCTAATTTTGACTTAAAGAGTGGTTTATTTTTATCTTTATTTCGTTTATACAAATTTTCTTTACTTTGAGTTTCTCGTCACTTCACATTTATTACTACCTACTACTACTTACCTTGTTTCTGTTTGTGTTCTCAAAAAGGGTACTGAATATTTTAACGGCTGAAAAAGGCAACAGCTATTAAAATGAAATACCATCTTCGACACTGCAAGAATCTGAGATTACATTTTATAGAGCATTATTGTGAGTATTAAATTTCAAAAGTATCAGCAAAAAATAATTATCATGTTAGTATTTGGCTTTGTGACACTTAATTGTCATAAATGATCTTAGAACATATGTTTTGTTATTTTTCAAAGTATATTGTCAAATTTTTCCTATAATTGTTTGGATTATTTTGGATCTCATAACAATGATAAATATATATATATATATGTATATTTATCACTGTTATGAGATTTTTAATCATATTTCATTAAAATCAGGTCAGATAAAAAAACTACCTTTGAAATGACTGATGAATGAATATTTTTGGAATGTACTAAACAGATAAATTCTGATTAAACATTTCACATGTCCGATATAATTGAACAAAATTTAAGTGCATACGATGTTTATAGCAAAAATCGTGTTTTTTAACTTCTGAAAACCACTCCCAATGTATATGCAGTAAGTACCTACTTGTTGTATCAGGTGTTTTTCTAAATTTCTACTCTAGTTGTTTCTCTAGCAGTGTCAATTCCACTCCTGACATACGCGTCATGGCTAATTAGAGCCGAAATTACAAAAAAATCACAATTTCTTAGAGATAACCAAATTTTTTTGAATACATTTTTCTGTTGTTGTCTCACTTATCGGTACCTATTGAAATATGTATATTATAAATCGTTTATTTCAAATTTGGCCTTCTACCATACACCTTCTGTTCGGACCTTTGCATTTAATTTACCGGAAAAAATTTGCTAGAGATAGCATCTAAAATTCTGCAGATAGGGCTTATCTTTCATTATGTGATTACAAAACAGTTCTCAAGAAACTTAAAAACTCGTTATTTTATTTTATCTCCGTCAATGTAGTGAATTAGTTCATCAGTGTTAATACTTGAAAATGTCCATCCAGAAGAAACTAATAGTCATTGGTGATGGCGTCTGCGGAAAAACCTGTCTTTTAATAGCATTTGCCAAAGACGAGTTCAATGAAAACCACATACCCCCTGTGTTCGAAACTTATATAGCAGATGTTCCAGTTAACGGCAAAAATGTCGAATTGGCTCTTTGCGACACTCCCGGGCAAGAGGACTATGATCGTTTAAGACCCATCCAATATCCAGAAACAGATGTTGTTTTGATTTGCTTTTCTGTAGCATGGCCAGATTCTTTCGAAAATGTTCGCGTTAACTGGTGGCCTGAAGTGAAACACTTTTGGCCGAATGTACCTATTTTGCTAATTGGTACAAAAAGTGACTTAAGAGAAAACAAAAAAAAACTGGCAATGCTAGAAAAGATGGGGAAGAAACCAGTAGCAAGAGAAGACGCGGAAGCTCTTGCTAAGAGAATAGAAGCAGTAACCTATCTTGAGTGTTCCGCAAAGACTAAATTCAATGTTCACCCTGTATTTACGGAAGCGGCTAGAGCTACGATTAGTCAAAAGAAGAAAAAGAAAAAATCTAATTGTGTATTAATTTAATTTTAAAATGACAAATATGCATGGTGATATAAAAAATAATACAAAAATGTAATATTTTGATCTTCAGTGAATTATGATTAGATAAGTTAAAAATGTTTGTTCAAAAGTAGATATAACTTTAACACCACCAGTGGTTTTATTTGTATTTCATCTTCGCAAAATCTTTTATTTGTTTACTTCTTCCTTGCATGTTTCTCCTCACATTGTGTTTATTACTAGGTACTTCAAATATCTTCTTTATGTTTACTTATTCAAAACAGGAAACTGAAAACCTGAATTAATGAGAAAATGAACAACTATTAAATTTGAGTAGCATCTTCTAAACACAAAAATTTTAGATCAAAGTAACATTGTATTTTATAAATGATTTTAGTTCAAAAACAGAAGAGAAAAATAATCTTCACCTTAATCTTTGTGGAACTTACTTTTCATAGTTTCATAATACATAGATGTTTCTATTTTCCAAACTGTACTTTTAAATTGTTTAAATATTATTTTGATCTACATCTTTATCAAAGTTAAGATTTTTTTAATCATGCTGTTTAGTATGACGTCAAATAATAAAAAATATTTTTAGTAGGTGCTCATATCAAGATAATAGATTTATTTTAACTATGTTAATTGTTTTCGTGGTGGCCAATTGTACCCATAGATAACATATTATCTAGTCTGATTAACATAAATACCAGAATGAAATGGATGTCTTGCTATGGTTATAGTTATATCCATTATATCAGCTGATTTGTTACTAAAAATAAATAATGGGTGTCCAAATGAAAACCTGTTCGAGAGAGGTGTGTCCTATTTTATTCATTTTTTTTTCGTATGTCGTAGTGCTTTGTTATCCTGTTCGAGACAGTATTGTCATTTCGATGTCAAATTCAGTTTAAAGATTATTATTAATTCACAATAGTCTATGTGACAAGCGGCGGATGACAGCTTTCAAAATTGATTTCGGAAACGACATACGGAAAAAACGAAAGCTGATGGCATAACATTCTAATGAAGTTTTATTTAGACATCCGATACAATCGTGGAAATATCCCTAGTCAAAATACTAGAATGTGACTTTTTGTAAAAATTTCGGAGTGCAAATTCCGAAAGTTTGCTTCGTGTCTTGACGTTTCAGTAAAAGTAGACATATTCTCTCTTTGTATTCTGTATCATTTAAACTTATTTGTTGTAACCTGTGAATAGATATTTTTTCGTTGTAAAACATTTTTGTTCGTGTAGAGAATAGATCCTTAATATAATAAGATAATCTTTTCATTCTAAGATTGTAAAAATATCTTTTTTATTGACAGTTAATGGTGATTTTGACGCAAAATTTAAAAATTTGCCATGAAATTTCAACGACATAACAATGGTACTTTATAGATGAGCAAATTTCTTTGAATAAAATTTGGTTTCACACTTATCGGTATCGTTTATTTCAAATTTCGTCTTCTACCATACACCTTGTGCTCAGACATTACCTTTGCATTTAATTTACTAGAAAAAATTTGCTAAAGATAGCATCTAAAACTCTACAGATAGGGCTTATCTTTCATTATTTGATTACGAAACAGTTCTCAAGAAACTTAAAAACTTGTAATTTTATTTTATCCCCGTCAACCGACAAATGTAGTGAATTAGTTTATCAGTGTTAATACTTGAAAATGTCCATCCGGAAGAAACTAATAATTGTGGGTGATGGCGCCTGTGGAAAAACCTGTCTTTTGATAGCATTTGCCGCAGACAAATTCGATGAACAGTATGTACCCACTGTGTTCGAAAATTATGTAGCAGATATTGAAGTTGGCGGTAAAAATATAGAATTGGTTCTGTGGGACACTTCCGGACAAGAGGCCTACGATCGTCTAAGGCCCATCCAATATCCAGACACAGATGTTGTTTTGATTTGCTTTTCTGTAACATGGCGAGTTTCTTTGGAAAACGTTCCCGTTAAGTGGTGGCCTGAAGTGAAACACTTTTGCCCAAATGTGCCCATTTTGCTAATCGGTACCAAAAGTGACTTAAGGGACGATAAAAAAGCACTGGAAAAGTTAGAGAAGATGAAGAAAAGACCAGTAACAAGAGAAGACGCGGAAACTGTTGCCAAAAGTATAGAAGCAATAACTTATCTTGAGTGTTCTGCAAAGACTAGATCCAATGTTCACGCTGTGTTTGCAGAAGCAGCTAAAGCTACGATTAGTGAACAAAGGAAAAGGAAGAAACATAAATGTGTATTAATTTAATTTTAAAAATGACGAATATGTTTAGTGATATAAAAAATAAAAGAATGTGAATTATGGTTAGATAAGTAAGTCACCAAAAATTTTTGTTCAAAAGGATAACCATGTTTTTACTTAAAAAAAATAGTGGTAGTAAATATTAAAGATTGCCATGTATTATTGGTTGCGTTTGGAATTTTTTAGGCGAAGAGTTTCTCGTGAACTAACCTTTGTGTTATAATTTTTAGAAAAAACTGAAAATTGCTTCGGCGACTACCGGGTGACTTTTAATGATTGTGTTTTTTTGTCAGGTTGGCAACATATTTAAAATTTGATGATGATATGCGTGATTATCAAAATGAAATTTAGTCACCCAGTCATTTTCTCATGACGATTGTAAGGCGCTCAGAATTCAGAATTGCCAACACCATAATTTGTTTCGCCCGGTACAAATAACAAAAAAAACAAAAACGAATTTGGTGGTTCTTTCACTGAAACACTGTCACCGAAGGTTTCACATTTTCAGTAAGTTTTTTGTAAGCTATTAAACCTATGCAGTGGTATTTTTGAAGTCAACAACTTAAATTAAAAATAAAAAAATTATCCAAGGTTATTTCGACAGAACTTCCCTCGCCTCTGAAGTAAGTAGAATAATCGAAAAATATTAATAAGATTTGATTTTGCGAATTTTATTTTTTTATAAAAACACTTATATTCATAAGTAATAATAAATGTAAAGAAGCGTGTTATGCGTTTGTTTCAACTAAGTTTTTCTATTAAAAAAAATGTTTATGACGTCTTCAACTTTTTGCCAGGGACATGTATATCAAGTTGGACAGATACAGTGTAATACTAATAATAACAGTTCTGTATTCCCACATTTTCGGGAAAATGGAGTGAGTCGTTCCTGATTTAATTAATAAAATAAATTGCCTCATTTATGAAAACTGTGAGTGTTTTGATAAACCACAAGCATAGAGTCATAATGTTTCGCATATTTCAGAGAGGATTTATTAGGCAACATTTTGAGAAAACCTCATCAATTTTTTGGGAGGGGATAAACGAAAAAATTTTGATTTACGTTTTAGCTTGATTACTATTACCTTAAAACGTTTGCAAGACTGCAGAGCATTCGGTTTTGCAGTTTCAAAAGAAGTTAAATAGCAAAATGTTGTTATACAATTTTGATTTTTTTTTTATCTAGATTCATGCATCATAAGATTCACAAGTAAAAGAGTATATTATTTTATAAAATTAAAAAGAATTCTTATTCTAAATTTTGGAGATGACGTCATCCCATTGGGGATGATTAGCCAAATTTTGATTAGCGTTTTACCATCATCTACATGTTATTCGTAATATACTGTTACGGTGACCGGTATTTAAAATCGGCGTGGATAAAACTCAATAATTTATTTCTCAGTAACTCAAATTTAATGCGACAATGATACAGTGATGTACACAATAGTTCCGTGATTACTGGACTCCACTCGTTGTCTGAATTCCACGTTCCCCGAAGGCTTCTATTTAAACTCATACTTTCTTTTTCTGGATTACCCATCACGATTTCAGCTTCCAGGTTTTTCTTTAGTGAACGCCGATCGGCCGCCGTCACTGATGATGAGTCAACCCATCATCGTCGTACATACTAGAAGGCCCTCGAGAAAATTCATTTAGGCGTTGTACCAGGGCAGCGTATGGGTTTATTTCGTAACAATACATAGAAAATCTGACAACAACCGGTACATCAGTTTCGGAGATTACGCGTCTAATAAAAATCGACACAAACGACAGACGGACGGAAACGGGAGATCACTTTTTTCGTACTCGTAAATTTTTATTTTTTGATAATAATTACAACTACATTAATAACAGAAAACTGCTGCCAGAAAACATGAAAGTGGCAAGTCGCTAGATGGACTTGGTTACTATACTTTTTAGATATAGATATTACTTAAACATGGCAATTCATTATTGATTTCATCAATAAAATAAACTTATTCGTTTTTATACGTCCTACACAGGCAGCTCTAAATGAAAATTACGGCCTTTATAGGTCTTGGCATATATCTAATACTACTATATTGCTAACTCTTGAGAAGTAACATAGAAACGGTGTTCACGGACAGAGAGAGACAGAAGATGTTGTTTTCTATCTATAAGAGTACCGAGGGTCTGTGCGCACGTACACAAAATAGAAGCGAAAGTACGAAATGTCAAAACGCATCCAATCACGCTATCGACTACAAATCAAGCAAGTACGAGTGTATGCGCAGTACTGTTTAGTACCACAGAGAGACAGAGAGGTCCGATATATTGCTCTGCCGTTATGTTTTCGGACTCTTTTGACGCCAGTTAGCAATATAGTACTATTAGATATATGGGTCTTGGGCTACTTTACCTAATCATTTCCACTGAAAATAAGTGGTAGTCACTGTTTCATGGTTTTTGGTTGTTTTACTGGTCGGGTCTGGTCGAGTCGAGTCTCGACTCTCGAGGAGTGGTTTGTCTATGGAGCGAAGTTTTTATTGGTTGTTGGTTGTTCTGTGGAGTGAATCTGTGTACCGAATGCGGTGACGTATCGTGAACAGTGAGACACAAAAAAACGTAACAGAAAAAGTTTTGAGGTTAGGGAAGTTTTAAAACTTAAAAAAGTGATAATACAGAATTATTGCCCCAGAAGTGTGTTGATATTGACTTCCAATATGGCTAATATGATACACTGTCAGTTGTGGATGGGCAGCGTAAGTATAATACACTTGCTCATGTCCGATATTTTAACGGCTCCCATTGTAGTTGGAGCCCTACATGACGGAAACATTCATCATTTCAGCTTTTCGTAAAATGGGCGAAAACCCTCTGAACGTGAAAGTGATGCGAAATAAGTTCACTGGAGAAGCCGCTGGTTACTGCTTTGTTCACTTTGCTACTGACGAAGAAGCCATTGACGCCATGCACAAGCTCAACGGAAAACCCATTCCAGGGACATCTCCCATTGTCAGATTCCGGTTAAACAACGCCAGTAACACTGGACGGACATTACTCGACCGAGAATTTTCAGTCTGGGTTGGTGATTTAAGTCCAGATGTTGATGATTATAACTTGTATCGAGTGTTTTCTTCTAAGTATAACACAATCAAGACGGCTAAAGGTAAAATTTTAGTAACTGTAGTGGTGAAGATATTGATCAGAATTTATTTTTAGTTATTTTGGATACTAGTGGCTTTAGTAAGGGCTACGGATTTGTTAGATTTGGTAGTGAAGATGAAATGAAGGATAGTTTAACTACCATGAATGGGTATGTAGGTTTAGGGACTAAGGCTCTGAAGATTTGCAATGCTGTTCCGAAACCAAAGGGGGCACTTACTACAGGGACCTCTTCGACAACAAACACTACATCAACATACACAACTGCAGCCGCAGACTATAGCCAATATTATGATCCTTCTACATACTGGCAAAATTATGCAAATTGGCAAACGGTAAAGTACAATAATTTCCCTCACTAAAGTTGTATTTTTGTAACAAAACCATGTCGTAGAATATATTATTTTTATGAAATTATGTTCACTTGTTACATGAAAACTCACAAGAAAATTTAAGAACTCACATAACCCATAGAATTTGTCAAAAGTGTAAAATTGAAGATCCAATAAACAAAAATTAATATTGTAATTGAAAAGATACATTATTTTTAACCTTATGCATGCAGGTTTTTGGAAAAAAATTCAAAATTACGTAATTTGTTTTTAGAAAATATGCTGAAATTTTGCACATGCTTTGTCGTTGTTGTAGTGAATGCGATAATTTGCTAATCAGAATCTATAAGTTCATCTCTTCCACAAATTTGATGACGTCATCGCAAAATTTTGACAACTAAATCTTAGTTGAAATGAGAAGAATAGCAGCTTCCGATATATGCGTTTTCTTTATAGAGTTTTGGTTTATGAAACTGTTGATAGAGATGCCCCAAAAAAATATATATATGCAGCAATATATTTTATTGATAAGCCAAAAACGACTTTTCTCATTTTTTTTTTAATTCTGGGAACACATTACTGTCTTTATTCCGATTACACTATGTCTGTCTATGAATTAATGTATTTGTTCCTAATAAAAAACTGATGGCGTCATCACAAAATTTTATCTAAAAATCGCGTTTGCAACACATAATAGCATGCTTGTTTACCTGTAAACACTTTTATTTTCAGAATCAAATACTATAATGTTTTTAAGTTAGTGGATTTGTTTGATCGTGCTTCAGGGGCTTGGGAAGTTCTGTTTGGAATATTGCTATTAATTTAAATATACGATTTAACGAAAGCGTTTTTTCCACGTTTTACAGTTTTTACAATACGAAAATATCGGTTTTCCGTTGTGTCTGTTTGTTGGCGGTTTTCTTAGATACGTAAACTCCGAAACTGTTTTACCGATTGCTGTGAAAGTTTGTGTGTATTTTAAGATTATCGTATAAATGGTTAAACGGTAATTATAATTTGTTTGTTCATCCCGCCAACAATTTGATGACGTCATCTCACGATTTTGCAAGGTAAATCCTATTTAAGTTTTATAAAATATAATATGCTTCTATACTTGTGGTTTATTAATCCGCCTTAATTTTACCTTTGGGATTAGGTTTTTGAAAGTAAATCAAGATGCTACAAGAAAATTTGAAAGCTTATCTTAGAAAACACAAAATCGACTGCTCTGAAATCTTGCAAGCACTTTAGAAAGATTTAGTAGTAGAAAGATATAGTAAATTCACTTGGTCAAATTTGTTTATCCTCTCCAAAAATTTGATGACGTCATCTCAAAATTTTGTCTAAAATACGCAAATTATCTGCTTACACGTGTCATATTATTTGTACCGTTTATCCTAGAAACTACGAAACTTATTTTTCTGAAATATAGCACATGCTTTAAGGCCTAACAAATCCTTTACTAAAATTCAAAATTTTGATGACGTCATTTAAAAAAAAAATAAAAATTTTCAATTCAACTTTTATCATTTCTGTAAAGAAATTGACTTATTCGTGCTTCAAATGCAAGGAAAGTTCAGTGTAAATAATTTTAGACCAATTACTTTTGAGTTTTGACTTTTAAATTAATTTGTATTACCTATAGTTGGATTTAGAAGATGGTCCACAAATCTAGGTTATATCCTTAAATCACTCCACATATACCTCGTAAAACTTTTATGACATTAGAGGCTTAAACCAAACCCCCTTATAAGTTAAACTGGCTATTGTAGTGTATTGTATTGTGAAATTTGTTTGTCGCAGCTTATAATAACCAGTTTGACTTATAAGGGTGGTATGGCTTAAGCCGTTAAGTCATAAAAGTTTTACTAGATATATGTCAAGTGAGTTAAGTATACTGAGTTATTTGGTGCCTGCTAAGTTAATAAATGGCGTAAGAGAGGGCAATAAAAAACTTGACCAAAGGTAGCCATGGATTTTTGAAAGTTTGTCTTTCATCGTTGCATTTTAAGCTCAAACTTTCATTTCAAATTGATGGTAATCTGATAAGACAAAAAATCTGTCACAGAAATTTCTAAAAATTTATTATCGTGTTCTTTATGACTCTCTTGGTAGGATTTCAACAATTGTTAACTCAAAAGTATTTTTTAAAGAATAAATCATCGATATATATTTATGTTAATAAAGATGTAATAATACATTTTAATGTAAATTCTTTTAAAGGGTTATTATGACCAAGGTGATGGTTCTGGGGGCCATGAAGCCTACCATGGGGATATGTCTGGTGTAGCTCACTTGGAAAAGAAGGAGGAAGATCTGCTGGAATTAATTGGTAAGTTTAAAAATTTAATAATGTTACAATTAAGTATATTTTAATACTCTTATATTCTAGATCACTCTTTACCCTTGGATGTGGACAAAATTAACCGAGAAAGAATCGAACAAGACTGTAACTTGTGGGACGCACTTGAAAGTTCCAAGTGGTTACCTTGTGAAGCGCTAGAAGTTAACTGACGGTCATTTTAACGAATAGGTTCTCAGCATAAAACTAGTTTATTAAATACATATACTTATAAAATATGCTTAATCGTGTCATTTACTTACATATTATAGGAAATGTATGATTGTTTTTATAAAACAAATATAACAAACGACAAAATTTAAGGCAATAAATAACACTACACGCTACAGAAATTAAAAAAATATCAACAAAACAAAATGGCATAAGATACATTTTAATGTCCCTACACTCAACGCTTCTACTTTGGTGTGCAAGTTTCTTCACCAACGGGGATTGTAATATCATTCTCTTCAGCTAGAACTACATTTTCTTCAGCGGGAATAGTTATATTATTTTCTTCAGCCGGAATTGTCACGTTCTGTTCTAGTTCAGTGGTTGTAGCTGATAGCGTAAATAAATTAGTAATGCCGTGTTCTTTACATTCTAAGGCTTTCTCTAAGCTGTTCATATCATGTCCGATTTGTTGACGACTATTCTCTTCTGTTACCATACATACTTTGTACACTGGTCCGTTTGGACCCGTACTCGCTACCACTAAAAGCGAGCCAGGCTTAGTTTTAAGAGATCTATTCTCTGGTTCAGGTGCTTTATATCTTTCTAATCTTTTAGGAACTCTTCCAGATCTCGTCGGTTTTTGGATCGTTTCTAACAATAAATCTTCTGTTCTGTCATCCTCGACCGATTCAACCTCAGATTCGTCAGCATCGCTATCGTCTTCCAACACGTTCATGATATCCAAAGCTCTTTTCTTCTTCACTTTGGGTTTCTCGACTCTTGCTATTTTTTCAGGTGGTTGGTCCTTTGGTGGAAGAGCTGCAAATCGCAAGTTACTCTTTGTTACTACAGTATCATCAACACATTACCTGTTTTTCTCTTCTTTGCTTCTTGCTTCATTATTTTCTCCCGTTCCTTTTGTTTTTCTAGTTCTTGTAGTTCTTTCTCTTCCATGTCCACTTCATGTTTAAAGTCGTGAAAATCAAACCCACATGGCTGCATTATTGCCTTATCAACCAAAGCCTTATTGATTCTTTCTTCTTTCTTAAATTTCATCTTCAACTCTCTCCGAGATCTACGCGGAAACAATTCACACATTAACGTAAAATCGGTTCCCAGGGTATTCAGAGCTTTGTAGAACTTCAAAGTTTCTTGTTTGCTCCAATCTTTGGAACGTTTAGCTCTCTTATACACCCCATAGCCGGTCTCAAAATCGCCATTGACGACTTGCGACTTTTCGATTTCTTCCCTGCTCTTTTGCACTGCCTTGTTTTCAATTAATAAGCTTTTTTCGTCCAGTACTAGCTCTCCTTGGGGGCCGATTTTAATCTGTGGTGCTGGCATTTCATTTTCTTCGTCACTTCCCGTTTTACCTGGGTCATCAACACTTTCTTCTTCAATTGTAGCTTCTTGAATACCATTCTCACTCTCCGCCTCTGAGTTCTTCCTCTTACTTTTGTTCTCATTACTCATTGGATTAGTCACCGGATTATAGAATATCAAATCTATCATCGTCAACTTTTGTCTGTCGGGCTTCTTGTTACCAAATTTCAAGTAAAAATCTCTTCTAGCTTCCGCTAATTTGCGGGACTGTTCTGTTCGCCTACATTTTCGTTGAATGACGGAATTAAATTCTTTGGGTTTCTGAGGGGAAAAGCATTCAGGGATTGAATTAGTATCTTGCACGGAAGTTGAAGAGCAAACCTACAAAATGAAATTTACAAAACATAGATTTACTTCAAAAACAACATACGGAGTCATTTCTGTGCCTGTAGTTCCTCCGACTTTCGTCTTCAGATTCGCTGGCGCTAAAACTGGTGTTGCGTTGACCCAGTCGTGGAACCGCCTTAATCCTTGACCTGTTTATTTTATTAGGACTAGGCGGCGGTATGGGGTATTCTATATCTGGCGACAGCAGTTGAGGGCTGCTAGGAACTAGTCTTTTTATATCTCTCTCTGGAAAATGAATGAACAAAATTTAAATTTACAGATATTTTAAGCGACTTTAATTTGAATTTTCGATATACTTTTTGTGTAAATACATTCGTAAACGTCATGCTTCTTGGAACGTGGAATAATTTCACGCTTTAGACACCTGCAGTGTTGCATTATTGACTGGTTGGAATTTAATCTGTTCTCAAGTTCACACTAGAAATTTGCTTAATCATAGAGTTAGTTCATTCCAAATTAAAATATAATGACTCGACTTTTAGTTATAAATATTTAAATACTACGTTTCTGGATTATATTAATTTGAAAGTTATTGAGCTTTAGCATAAGTAAATACGATTTGTTAAGAATCTGTAAATACACCGGCTATATTAGAATAAAGGAGCGAACATAACTTTTATTTTTTGTAGTATATTTTAACGTCACATGTATTCCTAAAAAATAGTGTCTTGATAAATTCAGCTGGAACGCAACATGTTAGACACAATGATAATTAAGTCTTAGGATTCACATCTTGTTACGGATATTGTTGTAGTCAAAGACGTAGAAATATTTATAGAATTTAGAGTTCCAACACTACTCATCGATCAAATATTTTGAGTAAAAGATGTAAGAACTTCCATTGCTGTATGGCACTGGAAGTCGTTCGGAAAATTACGATTAATGCTGGGTTCTGGAATTTGCGGCGAGTGTTTAGAATCATTGTCGTGTTCTTGGATGCTTGCTGCTAACTCGGGGACTTTTCAAGGAGTTTGATCCTCAGTTTAGAGCTTAAGCTTCTGTAAATATTTCAATATGGTAGCTCAGTGTTTCACTGATAAAAGAACAAGCGTCCAAAATTACACTTTCTCTAAAATTCTGAGTTCGCCCTTAATATGTGGATGTTCTTTTTTGTTTAAAATCAATATTCTTAAAAATATTGTTATACAGGGTGGTCCACGAGTAATAAAGAGCCTGAATAAATTTGAAACGCAACTCAAAATACATTTTCTTTGTTTCCTAGATTCTTGTTTTGAATTTTTTAAAATATAAAACATAGCAAACTGAACTTCAAAGTTTGCCGGAAAATTTAAAATTTGTCAATTTCTGTCATACATATTTCGAAAGAAAATGTATTCGAATGAGGTAAAGGAAAATATGGTGTTCATTTACAGTAAATGCCAAAAGAACGCGTCTTTGGCAGCCCGTGTTTATTCACAACGGTCCACGGACGGCGCCCCTCCCCATTTTCACAGAATTGCGCGAAATTACTTGGACGAAATTTTTCCTAATAAATCCTTGATCTGTCTTCTGAACTTATTTATTAATCTATGTGTTAGATAGATTAATTATATACCGCACTTCCGTGAAGTTTTGGCAACATACAGTCGTTTCCAAAAAATTTCGGACAAGATGAGCAAATCAGGTTCTCGTAGATCAATGAAAAGCAATGGGAACAAGACTTTCCTGTCAATGTCATTTGTCCGACATTTTTTGGAAATGAGGGTACTTTGTGACTCACTTCCAAGGTATGAATGATATTGTCTCAACAAACGATGAAATAAACGTTATTAATTAATTTGATAATCTTTGGATGTACTTTAAAACATTTAAAGATAATGTTATCAAGTGGGGAGGGGGGAGGGTGTTATGGTGAATATTTTTCAACTTTCACGATAATTTTCAAGTACAGTTTTATTCAAAAAATATTGGGCAGTGTTATTCTATCATTTATGACAAATCATATGTGATTCAAGCTTTACTGTCATTTTGCCATATATTTAACACTTTTCAAAAATCTATTTTGTCATACAATGCCTTTGATATTATTAATATCCGACAAATATGACACTACTGTCAGTAAATTAGGTTATCTAAATAAAGCACATTTTACGAGTTATCACATTAGTAAATGACAACTGTCCAATATTTTTTGAATAAAACTGTACAATTAGAAGTTCAAATTGATTGGTATGATAATTAAAAAGACTAACTTGTTCGTGGCAATTCAAGCAGAAAAAGAGATTATAGACTACATACAGAGCCAAACCTGCAAATTCCTGTTTTTCCAATTATCAAAACGTGCAATTAGCCAACTGTCACAATACTTTATCTGATTGTGACTGATAAACTTCCGTTTTAAAATCGATGCACCTTAATTCAATTTTATAAAATAAGTAAGACGATTTAACATGTAATTATATTTAGCGCCATGATTAATTTTTTTTACAAAAATTGCTTTCATGTAGCTTATATCATCAAAAATGGTATGACTTACTGGAAATTATAGAGTAGACGAAAAATATTTTTTATTTTGAATTGTCTTGATACCTAGAGTCGCGGTCAGAAAATCTTGGACGTCATTTTTCTGTCATTTTAAAAATTTTGATGTAGTCCATGCTTTATTGTCACTTTGATCTTTGAAGTTAAAAGATTTGTTACGTCGCATCCAGTGTTAGCATGTCTGCAGCGTCAAAAATGACAAAACTAAAAAATAAGGTTACAATACTTAAAGGTGTTTCACATTTTGTGACAGAGGAATGACACTGACGACCAAAATTTTCTGGCCGCGATTTGTATATTGTACTGTGGGATTTAATTATTGTAAAAGCCAACATATCAATCTTCCTTTAGCTTTAGGCTTCACGTTCAATCAAAGACGTCTAACATTTTTCATTTTATTATCTTTCCTAATTTTTCTTTGTTTTTGTTTCACAAAAGATTTTTATATTATCTATAACATTAGTTTATACTAGACGCAAACATTTAGTGCGTTTATGGCTTTGACGATTAAAATTCTTTTTCTGCCGCGCACGTTTTTTGGTTTTCTAATAGCTATTAAAGCACGCAAATGACGTCACAGCAGTTCGTTAATAGCCGAAAGGAGTTCTGAAATAGATCTGGTGTAATTTAGATCGGTAAGATTGGTAGCCATGACGAGAAATGTCAGGTGAATGTCAGTGACAAATGTCAAATTAAAATTTCCCGTATTTCGGGAAGTGTAAGGACTTCACTAACTTCTTCACAAGACATTTTAACCAATTTTAACTTACAAAAACTGGAATTGATTCGAATTACAGTTATTGATTCGGATTAAAGTTGTTGTGAAAATTCCCCAGATTAAAAAAATGCAAATTTCATTTGAATTTTGTGAAAAAATAGTATAACTAACTCGTTCATAAGGCCATTGTGGCACTCATCCTTTATATAGCTCGCGGCTTCGCCGCTCGTTCTATAAACTTGGATTCGTGCCTCAATATTTGCCTTATGAAACTCGTTCTTTAGTATACTATTTAACACGTTCTCCACGACTGTTTGCCGGTTGCCGGTGACGCTTTCTTGTTGTATAGGGCTGGAGTTACTTTTGTGACTGGAATAGTCGATCGGTAGTAATTCTGTACAATCTGTTGTAACCTCAAATCGTAAACAGCAAATTTTCTTTGACAGTTCCTACATTTGATAGAGAAAATTACTACTACTACTACTACTACTACTACAAGTAATAATCGATCTAGTGACTTTTGTTGTGACGGCCTAATGAATTATAATGGGAGTTAAATTGGTGTGAAGCCAAAAACGCACTAAATGTTTGGGTCTAGTATACCATTGCCTTTTTTCTAAAAATGTATCTTTTATCTAATTCTAAAAGTTTACTGATTTAATTTTTATTTCTTCGCCATGAAGGCAGTATCTCACTAAATGCATTTGTACTGATATCGTTACTAGGCATTTGATTACATTATTGCAATGTACAAAGTCCGAAAACCTTACATTCTTTTGTTGTGCATTGTAAACAGTTTAATTAAAAGCGATTAGAAAATACAAGATATAATTTGAAAATTTGGATTAAAAATTTCAACCAAGACAGCGCTCCATTTTAATTTTAAATAATGTGCCTGGATCTTACTTCTGTCAATTTTAGAAACAGAAATATATCTCTATCCTTCTTACTTTCCGATTTTTTGACGGCAGGTGATTTTTGTTGTCAAAAGAAACGTCAACTGCGTTATAATTTTCTAGAGATTCTTATATCATACGCTACACGCAGACGGGTTTCGCCACAATTAAAAATTTAGGCCAATATCATAGTGTCACTTTACGTCAAGTGGCTAAAGCTTCAAAATTTTGAGAAATCAGAGGTAGATTATTGTTGCGAATCTATTTTGCCGCGTAATTTTTTCTCTGATTTTAACATAAAATTTAGTTGTTTTTTAATGAAACAAAATGTTCTACATAAACAGTAATGTGTTATTAAAAAAAACAAACATTTTTTTTATGTCATTAAAACAACAAAAACTTAAAATAACGTTGTTAAAAAATGTTCCTAGTTTTTAGTTAATTAGAATTTCCGTAGGATGCGTCACTGCCAGTGGAATAATATTTTTAACTCCACTTATTTAAAAATTGAGTTCAGGTATTTATAGCACAATAGGTTATATTGTCTAGTTATAAAAAATAATAATTCCACAGGCTATTTTATCTAAAACTTACTCGCACCCCCTCATAGCTTTTGTATTTACGTACAAATAAACGACTCACATTTGGAACACCTGCACAATATTTGATAATAGATTATCTTACTGTTAAATATACTGTATGTCAAAAATATTACAATTAAAATGTGTATTGCACGAATATTTGCATTTATTGTGCCAACATCCAGTAGAATTAAAAAACCCTGTATTTCAGACATCATACAGATAAACCGCTAGGGTTTTTCATTTTTGTTCATTTTTTTAAATGAATTAAAATATCCGTTTCATCAACAATTTTATAAATGACAGATAGAATGCTGATGTCTGGAGATTACAACAATGATAGTGATTTTAGTGTTAACTCCCAAAACTGAAGAGGGTCTATTACATGGATAAAATATATAGTATATAGAACAGCGGTCCGCAACCTTTTTTGTCTAGCGACCCAAAAATATTAATAGAATTTATAAGGCGACCTATACGATAGAGGGAGGGGTGTGGGGGTTAGGAGGTATGGGGTTACTTAAAATTGCAGGACCTGTACAAAATGTCTATCTCAAATAAAATTAATTTTTAGTCTTTAAAATTTGTTGTTTTTCTATAAGATACAAACTATAACTATAATAATAATTTTTACTTGAGCATTTATTTTTTGAAATTACAACTATATTACTATATATGTATATCGACATTGATTCACTTCAAATATTGGTGACCCATTTTTAAAGTTTCGCGACCCAAAATTGGGTCGCGACCCATGGGTTGCGATCCGCTGATATAGAAGATTGCATTATTTCACACTCAACTCGGTCCAAAATTGACCACCCGATTAAAGTATTATCTTGATTCTTTTCAAAGTTAGGGGATGTGAACTAAAATCCAATTTCCAATGTCGACAAAACAATTGAAAAAATATTGTTCATGAAATTAATTTCAAATCTTTTAAAAATATTGTTGTTTACGCTGTTAATTTTCATGGTATAGTTTTTGCAAACTACTACCGGACAGTGGAGATCATAAAAATTAAGTAACAAAGACGACCCTAATCGGATTATAACCTCTTTTAGCCGGTCGCTGGGCGGTTTACCTAGAAAATCCGAGAAAGAATATTTAGGACAGGACTCGTTATTACGTTTTCTACATTTCTATAGTTTTGGAAATTTCATTCTACCCTATAAAATTGACAATAACGACAAGGACAGTAGTACAATAGCAAGAGATATTTACAACTTAAAGTTGTCGCGTGCCGGTAATCCCCAGATGTTAGAAAGCAGAATAATCCAGGTCCGAACAGGAACCATTGTTACTCACGAACGAAAATGACCATTATTTAATGAGTCTACTAAACCTGCTAAATGTTCTCACAAATTCGGGTGAGCTGGTATGAGCCATACATATTTTTTACCATTGTACTACTGTCCGTTTCGTTATTGTCAATAAAATTTTATAAGGTAGAATGAAATTTCTAAAACTATACTTAGATAAATACGTCACTGTAAAGTTGTAAATAAATGTTTTATCCTCTTATGTTCGTACATTATAATGTTATTACAATTATTATTAACGCTAAAATTATAAAACCAGTTTAAATGTTTTTATCATTAGTTCAATAAAACTTGGTGAAGCCCCGAATGCAACATAATAGCAAGGGAGACTTTATTTATGATAGGGTCTTTGTGGTACCTAGCGCCTTTTTTAACACCTAATTGCGGTTTTTATTGTTGCTTAATTTTTATAATCATTCCTGACAATTCTTTAAAATCTATAAACGTGTTTGCCACGAGTTGTGAATCTTTTAATAAAACAATTAATAACGAATAAGGAAGCTACAAAATTTAAATGTGTCTATCATTGTTCACAATCGTGATTTTTTAATGACAATTTTATAATTTTTTTAAAGGAAATTAGAAACATTAGTCATAACCTCATGATAGATAATTTTCTTCATTATCTAACTGTGTATGATTTCTGTAGCGTAATAATTAATATAAATTAATATAATAAAGGTTATGCATTACTTTTACAGTTTAATCAGACATGACAAATATTTTCATGGCCAACTCTAATTTGAAAATTTTTTGATAAATAGATGAACAAAAAAAGGAAACACCCTATACATTGAGTCGTTAACGCTGCGATCAATATTGCAAGTAGAGAAATTTAACCTTGCTAGTATTTTCGACAATTACCTATTAAATTTGGAGGCCTTACACTGGTCACTTCAGGTGGCTTCAGTAGATGATTCTGGCTTTCGTAAACTCCATTTCCCACAACCTGATGATCTGACTTAATCACCACATGTTGATTTTGATTTGGACATGTGATAATTTCATTTAAGATAACAACCTTACCACTTCTTACATTTACTGGATTATTATTAGTAATTGACTTTGCCTCTTCACTCTCTTTTGTCTTTCGATTAATGGCATTCACAGATATAGCTGGTTTGATAAACTTACGTCTCACAGGCACTGCTGGCTTAGTCTCAAATTTAGTGTTCTGAGTATTTTCAACAATCTCAGGAGTATTCTCCGAAACAATTTTAATAGGATCATTATAATTTTCGGAAAATCTAGTCACAGAATTTAAATCTGGAGACTCTAGCTTTTTCTCTTTTAACATTTCAGGGGGAGAATTTGTAGGTGGTGAAATAATGGGTGTGGTGGGTGTTTCAACACCCTTTTCATTGCTATTTTCATTAGTTTTTTCAACTTCCTCGTTCTTATCAAGCTCGTTCTGTAACTCCTTTCCATCTGCGGGACATTCTTCACTCTGCTTATCACCTACGATCTCATGCTGCCGATTGAGGTTAGGATCTTCATCGTTCGTATGTCCAAAATCTGGAGACAGCTTTGTGTTTTCTTCAGTGTTGGATGGATTGTTTATGGTCTTCCGTCGCTGGGGGATGTTGGCAATTCCCTTAATTCGTGTCCTCCTGGATGCCATTATAACGAAATCAGACGAAAAATTGTGAAAGAGGTAAATGAGATTAGAATTGCAATAATGTTCGTATCCGTAAAGCACTTCGTTTTAAACACTTAGAGTGGATTGAACACTTCCATATGGCGTTACCCACGTTTCTAGTGCGAACAGAACACATGGCAATTTAACTTTAAGCAAAAGAAAGTAGATCGTTTTTGGATCGACAACGTTGGCGTAAATGGCAACGTCGGATGCGGATGAAGTGAGTGTGCGACGTTGCTAGATAATTTAAAATCACATGGTTAATTACACCGAAAAATCACAAACTGTCTTTTGATGATTGATTTTATGTTTTTTAATCATCTAGTTTAAGTGTGGTATTGTAAATTCGATGTATAAATTTGTAAATGTAAAAAATATTATATTAGTGTATAGGCAACCAACAATATACATTGGATGCCTCAATACAGGATTCCTTTTTTGAGAGGCATTTAAAACGTTAGCAACAAACAGTTCTGGTATTGTAACAAACACGGATGGATTTAAGTTTTTAGGTATTTTTTTGTGTAGATGGGAAGTTGTGTAATCGTGTTTTCACGTGTTTACAAAGTGGTATTAGACATACAGCAATACATATAATTTGTCAAATTTACGTATGGTACAATTCTCAGAAATTGAAGTAATCAAGGCGAAGAATCGCATCGAAGCATCGCACTGTCGCAGTTTTCTGGTGGAGTGTGTGAGGTGTCCTTTGGTCTTACTGAAAAATTAGGTAAGGCAAACAAATGGTTTGAGTTGGTAGCGCATTTTTTTATTATATTTACAATTAATATTTTAAAAGAAATTAGTTTTATAAACATTTGATCCATTGTTGTGCATTGACCATAGTAACGTAGCCTTGTAGCATCGTTCCATCATAACAAGTCTATACTTGTAGTGCATAGCAATCTTTTGCAAATGCAATCGGCTTCTACTGGTCCCATTGTGCGAATGTAGGGTTTCAGTTCACCAGATTTTTAATACCAAATGAAAATTGTACAAACAGTGTCCATTAATGGATAAAAATCCCACACTGGTGAAGATTATAGATTCGAAACAAATGTAGCAACACAACTTTTAGCCGTTTGTAAAAGTTTGTGTTGAAGTCAAGAAGCTGTACTGATTTAACTTCTTTATATTACTATGGGATGGGAAAAATTGAATATGGAACAACAAAGGTGATAGTTTCAAGGGCGACCGTAGTGTGAATATTATGTTGCGCATTTATAGCGGCCAAATTTTGGTGCAAAATTTGAGAAAAGTGGTCAAAGTCTGCACATATTTCAGTGTCTATAAAATTCCCATCATCATGCATTGTAAAAGTCAGTTTGCATTTTTTTTAAATTTCGGATCCAATATTCTTGGGTACTTTTAATAATAAAAGTGTTTATTTTGAACAGAAATTTAAATATCTGAATGTTGTATCTTCAGATTACATGTTATGATAGTTACATTGATGTTGTGTTTTTTATTTTATACCAAAAATAAGAACTCAGATTAGTAAATCCCTTTATTTACATGTTGACGAATTAAGTTAACAACTCTTCAGTAGTATGTTCTCCTGATGTCTTCCGCGTGGGGCTTCTTTTCAAATATGTTGCCTTTATTGCAGTTTTTTTGACTTTCTTAGGACAGTTGGCCAATATACAGTATAGACCAAAATTCTATTCATATTGGCCTATAAATAATACAAACCCAGTCCTAAGTCGGTGGAGCCAGACGTGAAAAATTTACCTATGCAAGATCGATTAAGACATTGCAATTTTTTATTTCTGTCAAGGATTTTCCAACTTTTAATCTCAGTAAACAACATTAAATAATATTGAGGAAAATAAAATTAAACAAACTAGAAATAACAAACTCAATTGTCGCTCCTAATTTAAATTGTCGTTGCGTAACATCGTATATATTTTTAATAAATGCCGTCATTCTTTGTGTAACCTAGGCCTGACACTCTTCTAGCGTAAAATTATCTCTTATTTTTTAGAATTTTGTTTTAATTTATGTATAAATTTGACAGTATTTTTTATCATATTTCACATTGTTTGGATGGGCTACAAATTAGGGTGCCTATTTTAATAGTGGAATATTGTTATTAAACCAGTTTAAAGATGTTTTCTTCTGTAACGTCTTGTAACGTTAGTAGCAGAATTTCCTTTAAGGTGTTCAAATTAGTATTGTTTTGTGTTGATAGTTCAATTAATAGAGTGATGTAGTTTTCCTACACACCTTTTGCAGACATTGAACTTCGGACTATAACAAACTTCAAATTTTCTTTTTAAACAATCCGAATAATATGTGATTCTTTTCTATACTGCATTCATTGAAACGAGCCACTCCGTCAAAACAAATAAATTGGCGTGATCATCACGTGGTCAGCCAAAATATGCGTTTTCATTGGTCAGATCTTGTCTCGATTTAGACGTAGTTCACGCAGGTCTACAGGTGCACTTTACGGAAATGCACTTTGTAGTTTCAGATCTTCAGTTATATTCAATATTTGTTACTTGTCAACTTATCATGTCGTTAACATATTCTGCAGAGGAAATTGTTGCAAGTGCGCTTTCTCCTCTGAAAAAAAAAAGAAAAAAGGGCGCTTATGATTTGTTATGAATTTGTGTTTTTATGGAAAGCGCTTGAACGGAGTATCGGTAGATTCACGTGATGTTGGTTTGACGAGGTGACTCGTTTGAATGAATACATTATAGGTCTAATCAGTTTGCTTTGACTGTTACCCACATAAATTTCAAGGTAAGACTCATCAGTCTAATTGATGCACTTTAACTATTCAGAACTTCATTTTTTATGTTCTTTAGGTTATTTCAATGTGTTTTTCTTTTATTTTGTTGCTAGTGATGGTTTCTTAGCAGCACTAGTGTATCACGTTGACTAGCCTGTTGTATTATACTTAACGAAATCAAAATAAACATGCAATTAAACTGAACTTATTAGTGGTGACATGCTTCTTTTGGAACAGAACATACCAGAGTTTCAAATAATATAAATATATATTGATTTTGATACAAAGTCAGTGAATACTTCGATACTCAATAGATAAATGGAAAGTGATTAAACAAGTGTAAATTGTTTAGTATTGAATTTTAAAATCTTTGAATACTTGCCTATCTATTGAGGTAAGTACTTTAAAATAATGTGTATTATATATATCAATATCATGTTCATTTATTACAACTGCTTAACTATTTATATTTTTTACTATTTATACCTTAACTGGTACACGGATAAATATGGACACGAAGCGTCCAATGGCACCATTTACAAAATACATCTTGGTGAAAGTAAGTGAAGATATTAACAACAAAAAATGTTCGTCGGTCCGTTACATTAGTTTAAAAAAAGTGTCAGAAAATTAACCGTTGTTGGTTTTATTATTTTGGAAAGCTTTTGTTCCTGAAGAAAATGTAGTATCATACAGCCCTGAAAGATGTCTCTCGCTTTTACTTTATCCACACGGTTGAGTGCCACTACTTGATGACTAGGAGCCAGAGAGCTTGAAAAACCATACTTACCTGGCGTAGGGGTTACCGTGATCAACAAGGCGGTTCCCCCAGGGTGAGGCCCTTCCATTGCACTTAGGTCGGGCTGACCCCTGCGATTATCCCTAATGCGGATAACTCGGGCGCACAATTTTTGGTAGTCGGGACTGCGTGCGCGCTGTCCCGGTCTAATCTAATGCAAACATGGTATTGTATTATCCAGAGCTTTATTAGTAAAATCAATAACTTGCTCTGCGTTGCTGCTCTCCGGTTATCTGTTAAGCTGGTCAGGGATCAGGGTCAGTCAGGGTCAAAAAAAGCAGCCATGTGCTTTGACTGGAGCCAAGGTAACCGTGGTAGCCTAGCTGCTTGCGCCTTAGCTTGTGGCAACTGGTGGGGTGGCACTGGTGGGATTAGCGTACGCAGGCCTATATAGTATGTACAATTATTTGATGGCTGTTGATCATAAATGTAGGGAAGACACTCTTTGTTGCGAGAGTCTGTAGTGTGGCCTTTGGTTTGCAACTCGGGCCATCGTATTGGTGTGTCTTTTAGAAGTTTTCAACAGATGTCTCTGGTTCATTTTTAAAAATTATATCAATAGTAATATCCCCGTGCACGTCAAATTGTCAGCAATTTTAAGTTTGACTCCAGTTACCACTAAAAATCAAAAGAATCTACATGAAAGCAGTTTGAATATTTTTGTGTGGCAAGAGAATATGATTTTGAAAGAAAAACAACTGAATAGAGTAGAACAGAAAAAATACGGTGGTAGTCATCTTTTGTTTTCAAGACAGAGTTAGAAAAAAGTTTCCTTATTTGTTTGTATAGTCTCCGAAATACTACAAGGTTATAATTAGGGTATTATGAAGACGACAATGGAGCAGTTAATAAGACAACCCCATCTTTGCGGATAATCATTTTTCGTATGCTTTTGAAATATTAAATAATGCAAATTGTTGCTCTGTGTTTTAATTTATCTAAAGAAGGACAATTCAATGAAGTAAATTTCTGTGTTCAATTAAAAAAAGCAAATTTTACCAAATGAGGAAACTTTTAAGAATAGCTTACCACTGTAGACTGCGCGATCAAACTCGTCACTAAAATGGAGTAGGTAGACAGAACGTTATTTATTGTTAGGTTCTTATTAAAAAAAATAATAGAGATTTAATATTTTTCTCTTGGTAATATGTGTAGGTAGTTCTAATTGCAATTTGTTTTTTTAAGAATGTGAATAAAATTCAATGCTTTTCCGTTGATAAGTAAATATACTTTTTAATAATATATTTTTATAATTTTTATTGTCAGAAATTCTACACAACTTAGAACGTTCAGTAATAAACTACATATTTGCTAAAGAAAGATCTATTTATGAAGTAATTGTGGAAAATTATGATCGTACGGATAACTATTGTCGCTACCCTGCAGCGAGGGGTATTAGACTATTCCGCCTCCTCACTGCCGGTTTCCATAATCCCCAAACACTTGGACAATGACTTGGGAAAAATTAAGGACAAGGACCAAAATTTCCTGGTTTGTTTACAGAGTGCTTTGAATTCGAAACAAGAACTTTTTGAGATAATATTTTAAACTATACAGTGGAGTGATTTTTTTTAACAAAAATGAATCTTTATTTAATAAATCTATTACTGGTAGATAGATAGAAAGCAGTATTTTTTATTAACAAATCAGCCTGATTCAGTGAGCAATTCAAAAAACTAACAAATATTGACAATTTGAAAATAACACAAGACTGAATTTCGTAATGAATTGTATAAAAATTAACATAACGTTTGTTTTTGTTCAAATGATTAAACATATTCCCGATTATTTTATTGTTTTTTATGCTGTTTTTTAATTTTCATTTTCTTCCCCATTGTCTTCATATTAATAATTTGTTACATATGAATTCTTATCCACATATGTATCCGACTGCAAAACTGCAAAGATTAAGCATGGTAAAGGTTAAAATTTATGCGTTTATCCTCTTCCAAAAAATTAATGAGTTCGTTACAAAATTTTGCCTAATAATTGTTATTTAAATTTTATAGAATAACATACATCTTCACTTGTGGTTTATGAATCCCGGTTGAGTTCATAACCAAGACATGCAAACTTTAACATTTTGCGATTTAACTTTGAAATTGCAAAACCGAATGCTCTAGAATCTTGCAAATATTTTAAGGTAATCAGAAACGTGGTAAACTGTTCATTAAAGTGTTCATAACAAAAATTATAATTAATTTTGTAGTAGTAATTATGCGTACGTAAATTATTAATCTACCGTGGAGTAGAAATATTAACAATTATGTAACTCCAAATGTACCAGTTTCTAATATAATAATCGGGACAGTAGTATTCATTTTGCCTGAAGAGTTGATTAGATTGATTAGATTAGATTATGATAGGCTATCGGCCTTCTCAGAAAGGTTTTTACCTAGCTGTTTGGTCCGTAATTTAGTCCGTAAGCTTCAATATCATCACGCTCCTAGTGCTAAGACTCTGAACTAGCCATTCAAACTGTGTTGAATTCAAAAATCCATTTTTTTTTCAAAAATTGTTCGTTTTTGTTAAAGACTCTGCTAATGACTGAATTGGATTTAATTTATGGTATATTCTGATTTTAATAAAAAAAAATATATTTAAATAAACTGTATTATTAACAATGTATTCAATATGACAGGAATCTTTAAAATAGTTACTTTGTCAGTGTGAGTATTTTCAAGCGATTCTATGATGTTTAACACACAAAAAAGAGGAAAAAACAGAAGACAATGGTGCGTTTTTTACCATATTGTTCTATCACATTTTTTGGTTAATTGAACTGTTTTTAAGAGTTTAGAACATAAAAAAGGTGCAGTTTGATGTATAACACAACTATATTAATATCATTTACTTAATTATAGAAAAAAGGAAAACATTGTTGTACCTCCACTAGCGAGTTCCTAAAATAAAGGTAAAGTACTCCAAAAGCTATAAGGTTATATGGCCATCATAAAATTATATCATTGTGTGGAAGTTAAGTTGTTTACAATAGAAAAGGTTTTAAGGTCGTAAATAACGTGTCCACTCTAGCTCGACCGGCTGCTGTCGGTTCGTTCAGGGGTGGCTTTCACTAAATATCTAACTACCTCCTACTACTACCTGCAGCCACAAAGGGTTCCGAAATAACCAGTTGTTTTGAAAGCCGGCCCTGTTAAATGTGAGCAAGAAATGTTAGAAGACGATTTATTGCCAACCGGTAAGCTTAATGCGAACCACACAAAGGGGGTATTTATTTGCGGTCAACTACTTTTATGATGGTCATATAACCTTATAGTTTTTGGGCTACTATATATCTATGTAATGGAACGCACTGTTGTCCTAGAAAGTGAATAGTGGCTATATATAATATAAAAGTATTTAGTAATGTCGCATATATGGAAACCTTCTCTCAGAATAACTTCATCTTGTTTACATTAATAAAATTAATATATTCCACTACGTTGTTTTGTATCGATCTATGTATGTGTGACGTTAACAAAATATTTCATTGTCTTTTCGTTGAAAGGCTTCGACAATACAAAGCACTTCATCACTAAACACTTTTTTAAATAAAATCAGAAAGCTGGTATGTGCAAATTAATTAGTATTTCTTCCATAATAAGTCTGCGAATCTCAATTCTCAGCACGATCAGATCAATCCAGTGCGAAGGTCAGTCTGTTCGTCTATAAATACGATGTAGAATTTACTCGTTCGCCTTATTGTAAACCTCATGTGAAGGCACAGTAATCATGTCTGACAGTTCAGAAGACGAACTAAAACACTGGCTAACAGTCGCTCTAAAAGGTGAGAATCTTGTGGACTTTACAGTGTCTCGGTTGGGAAACGCGGCAAAACATGAAGAATACATGGGAGATATCGTTTTCGTGGAAGTATCGGCGGAAACATGCGATCGTTCACCAAAAATTTATAATTTAGTATTGAAATGTAGCAAGAAAAGTCCAGTTTTACGAGATTCCATGCCAGTGAAAGCCGTGTTTGAAAATGAAATGCATTTGTACGAGAACGTCATTCCTGCTTTTACGGAGTTTCAAAAAGAGAGGGGTGTAAGTGAAGTGTTTAACAGTGTGCCGAAATATTACGGAAGTTATGTGTCGAAAGATACAGAAGTGGAGGTTTTGGAAAATTTAACTACCAGAGGGTATTATTTATGTAATAGAATAGTGCCGCTTCCGACGAACAATTTAAAACTGATTCTCCGAGAGTATGGTAAATTCCAGGCAATTTCCGCTGCAATGCAGGATCAAGCACCCGAGAAGTTTAAGTCGCTGGCGGGTGAAATAAGAAACGTGTGGAAAATGTTCGTTGACAAACACGACATTGAAACATATTTTGTAGCACCGATTGACGAAGTACACGAGTTGCTGAAAACCAGTTTACCTGAAACCACTGCCGAAAAATTAAAGAAATTTAAGACACAAATAAAACAGATCATATACGAGGTGATCAACAATACAAAGATTTTCTCTGTGATTAGTCATGGCGACTGTCAGAATAATAATTTTATGTTTCAGTTGGAGGTTAGTGGATTTTTCGAAATTATTATTTCTTAAGTTGAATGTTATTTCAGAACAAAACCGACGAAAATTCTTTAAAAGTGGCTATCCTGGATTGGCAGACGACAAAATTTGCGAGTCCTGTCATGGATATCTCGTATTTTATATATGTGTGCGCGTCAAAAGAGGATCTAGAACACTTCGATGAGCTTATTAATATTTATTATGACAGTTTTTCCGGTTACGTGAAGTTATTGGGAAGTGATCCGGAAAATATATTTCCTTTTAGTCAGTTTCTTACAGATTTCAAATTATTTGAAAAGTATGGTTTAATGATCACATTGTTGGTCATTAATGTTGCTCTTCGTGATGAAAAGGAAGCACATAATTTTGATGAAACCATAAATACTGGCTGTTCTTTTAAAAATAAAAATCAAGACTTGCTTAAAAGTAGAATGTTGGATATTATAAATTACGTTGCTACACACGATATCTTATAAAAGGTGGATTGTTTATGACTAAATTCTTGTATTCAATGATCGTATATATTTATGTAACCAATAAAATTAATCGCACTAAAAAATAAAAATACTAATCGTATGTGGAATTATTGCTGGTAAGATTTTCATTTACTTTTTAAGTAAGGCGGATTCACAAACCACAAGTATTCGAGTATGTTATTTTATAAAATTTAAATGGTGAATAACTGCTTTTGAAACAGATCTTGTTTGTAACATTAAGTATAGTGTTTTATTTCACTCAACTTTAATTTTTTGATGTTTGTAAGTTTTTTTATCAACCGAAAATGAAATAAACATCAAAGTCTTCGACATTATTGTAATCGCAATTTAACGGTCTTTCAAAATCCGTATAAAAAGGTAGGTTGAAATAAAAAAAACATAGGTTTGCAGTGTACTAAATTAAGGTTTCCTATTCAAACTAAAAACAATGGCGTTTAGAGAATTTCAATATCTCTATCCGTTTTCAAGGTACAAGGCCGCGGAATTGTACTTGGGGCACCCTGTACACCTTGCCGTATAATATTCTATAATTTATAGAGGTTATAAAAAAATATATTTTTAAAAAAGCGGGATTTGTTGGACTTCAGAAACAGGGGAAGTTCTGTCTGAATAATTTTCTATTTTAAAAATTTAAAATTGCTGCTTTCTATTTATTTAGATTTTTACCTTTATCTCGGAATTCGAAGGGAAGGAGTGAGAGAGACATATACATTTTCCCTGTTTTCTCCTTACGAGAAACACTTTGAATCATGCTGGAAGTTACATATTTCAAAAACAAGAAATATTAGAAACATTTGTAAACAGGTAAAACTATTTTAAAAAATCTCGCCAAAATTTCTTTGTATTTTCAAATTTGACCTTATCATGTAAACTTGAACACTCATTTTGTAGGCACGTGATTGGTCCATCTGATTGGTGTTCTGATTATAGAATGTGTTTACCCGCAGGAATTCCCGAGGAGAAACTAATAAAATTATTAAAACACACTGATCTTGATGCGTCGTGCGTAGTGGTAAATCCCAAGACCTTGCACATAAACTGAGCGTATATTAAACGGATTGCGATTGCATTTTTAGACTTTTCCCGTAAAAAATTACAAACCTACATTTTACTTCCATTATAACGAGTTTCGTTTAATAATAATAAGAAGAATTTATTGTTTAACAGTACAAATGTAGGTGCTACAAAAAAAAAACAATTTCCATAAAAGAGTAAATAAATTAAAAAAGAAAAGAAACCACACATTTACCAGTCCCATTGATCGACATAAAAATCATACAGGATATCTTTCCAACAGATTCTAATTGGACGCAGGTAAATAAAAAGTTCAAACTGAATAAGAAGTTAGACTTGATACAAAAAAAAATATCAACCTATCTAAAATATTAGAAGAATCGATTTGATTATGTAATATTTTGTATAACAATGTAAGTCTTATACTTGTTCTGAATGTTTTAAAGGTTGTTACATTAAAAATATTTAGTAATGTCTCATATAGGAAACCCTTTCTTCGGATAATTTCCCGTTGTTTACATTTATATACTACCATTAACCATTACGTTGTGTTAAACATATGTATAAATATGAAGTTATCAAAAATTATTCGCCTCCTAAAATATTTCAAAGATAAAAGCTAGTTTTAAATTTAATTTGAAAAATGTATACCTACATAGTTAGGCTAAACTACAACAATGTTTTAGTTTAGCTTAGTTAATAAAAGAGTTTGTAAATAAAATCAAAGCACTGATGCTTCGGAAAATTGAAATGAACTTTTTTTTTCGTAAGTCTGTGAAGTCTGATTTATTTGCCAGCCCGATAAGCTGAACTGCAACGCCGAAGGTCAGTGTACTCCTCTATAAATACGAGTTAGATTGTAGTCGCCGGCCTCATTGTCGACGTAATGTGAGAGTGCAATCATGTCTAACAGTTCAGACGACGAACTAAAATGCTGGTTAAAATCCGCTTTAAAAGGGGAGAACCTTGTCGACTTTACAGTGTCTCGCTTGGGAAACACGGAAAAAGGCGAAGGATACATGGGTGATATCGTGTTCGTGGAAGTATCAGCAGAAACTTCGGATCGCTTGCCAAAAATTTATAATTTAGTGTTAAAATGTAGCAAGAGAAGTCCAGCTTTACGAGAATCCATGCCGGTGCAAGCCGTATTTGAAAATGAAATGCATTTTTACGAGAACGTCATTCCTGCTTTCACGGAGTTTCAAAAAAAGAGAGGCGTGAGTGAAGTGTTTAACAGTGTGCCGAAATATTACGGAAGTTACGTGGCGGAAGATATGGAAGTGGAGGTTTTTGAAAATCTAACAACCAAAGGGTATTATTTATGTGACCGAAGAGTACCGCTTCCGACAAACAATCTAAAATTGATTCTCCGAGAGTATGGTAAACTTCATGCAATTTCCGCTGCAATGCAGGATCAAGAACCTGAGCAGTTCAAACTATTGATTGATGAAATAAGAAACGTATGGAAAATGTTCGCTGACAAACACGACATGGAAACATATTATGGAGCACCAATTGACGAAGTACACGAGCTGCTGAAAACCAGTTTACCTGAAACCACTGCCGAAAAATTGAAGAAATTTAAAACACAAATAAATAGTATCATAAAGGACGTGATCGAGGATCCGAAGACTTTTTCTGTGATAGGTCATGGCGACTGTTGGAATAATAATTTTATGTTTCAGTTGAAGGTTAGTAGATTTTTAGAAATTATTATTTCTTAAGCTGAATGTTGTTTCAGAACAAAACCGACGAAAATTCTTTAAAAGTGGCTATCCTGGATTGGCAGACGACAAAATTTGCAAACCCTATCACGGATGTTTCATATTTTATATATGCATGCGCATCAAAAGAGGATCTGGAACATTTCGATGAGCTTATTAATATTTATTATAACAGTTTTTCCGGTTACGTGAAGTTGTTGGGAAGCAATCCGGAAAAGATATTTCCTTTTGATCAGTTTATTAAAGATTTCAAATTATTTGGAAAGTATGGTATACTCATCACGTTGTTGGCTATTAAGGTTGCTCTTTGTAATAAAGAGGAAGCACCTGATTTTGCTGAAACCATAAATACGGGCTTTGAAAACACATTTTCTTTTAAAAATAAAAATCAGGAGTTGCTGAAAAGTAGAATGTTGTATATTATAAATCACGTTGCTACACAAGATATCTTATAAAATAGTGAATTGTACGTCCTACTTATGACTAAACTGTTTTATTTAAAAATCTTATTTCTAAAGCTCGCAAAATTAATCTCGCTAAGAAAATAAAATTCTAACGATATGTAGCATCAGTTTTGATAAGATTTTTATAATATACATGCCGAGTGTTCCAGTTTACTTAACCTGTGATATTTCAATTATTTGAAAAAGTATTTAGTTTTTTCAGGTGTAAAACAAAAATAAGTTCAGTTTTTTTTAATGAAATTCTGGATAAAAATTTTGAGCGTTAGCTAAGGCAGTAATGGAGTCCATCGGACGACCACATTTTTTTTAAATTCGAAAAGAAATCAATTAATATACTAACTAACGTTGTTCGCTAGTGTAACTTTACGTAAAATTTGGTAAAAGATTCGATTGGATTGTCCGGAAAAGCAAAATAAATGAAATAATTTCATGATTCTCAAAAATAGATGCTTCATGGCTTACATAAAAATGTGTTTGGAAAACAAAGCGCAAAAATGCTTTAAACAAATATGATTTTACAAAAGCAAATAAAATATCAAAAGTAACAAGTATTGAACTTTGATTATTAATTAATTTCATAATAAAAAATATATTTTTTAATTATTAAGCTTTCTATCAATGAGGTTAATGAAGTGATGCATACATACAACTGATTTGTCTTTATTTATAAATTAAAATTCCATATTAAAGTTATTCTAGGTTTCCCCGTTTAATTTCCATAAAAAAATTGTACTATAAAAAATACATTCCAAATTAGGTAACGAATTTCTTTACAATTTTGTTAAAATAATGTGTAAACATTAACTTTATTTAGTTTATTTATCCTCCCTAGAAAATTGTTAACATCAGCAGCATAATTATAGTTTTACGTTATTTAGGTGTCAAAAAAGTTATTCCATTTGACAATATTCGACATACTTATTAGAGATAATGCTAAAATAGTTTGCTAATGTTTTCTTTAGTTTTTTCAAAACAGCTCCTTTTTTTATAAGTACATGTTTTTACAACATTTTATATAAAAACAGGACTCTGACATTGACCAAGTAATGCAAATGATTAAACAAAGAACTACTTCCAACTTCGAATTAGGTATCTATTAGTATTGATTTTTTATTATGCATGATGATGAGGCTATTATTGTCTATATATTGCCTTCATGATTTAACATTCGTTTTTCTAGTAATGTATTGTAAGAAAAAATAAAACAAATACTGCAGGAGGCAAGAGGATATAATTTGAATTTTCTGAAAATGATGTATGCAACCCAAAATTTACAGCTGTTATGAAGAATAATCAACAACACATCACTGAAAAGTAGTCATATGAAAAAAATTAATTTACTGAAACATACATTTGCAAACTTAAGTTGCTCTGTAATAAATAGAAGTAATTGGTTCTTTTTATCTTTTATCTATGGCTCTATTCTTTGTTTTTCACTTGTACACAACCCAAAAAGTTCACATTTTAACATCTTAAATGATATAAATCTTTTTGTTTACAAATATTACGGTTAATTTTACTATAATTTATACATATATATATATTTGTGACAATGAATAACATCGAATAAATTGGGGGTTAATTTATGTAAATTAATTATATAGGCGTGTTTAAAAAAGAACTCTTTCTTATAAAATGAATAATTATGGAGTGTGCATGATATAAAATGGCATTTTTCTTTTTGAAATTACAGTTTACATAATCCAGTTTGTTCGAACTTTCAAAATTGGTTCATTAATTTGTTGTAATTTTCCTATTTATATATCTTTTTACTTAAAAAAATATTTCAGCCTAGGATCGAAAAAAGCTGACAACATAAATTTGTAAGTTAGAATAACATTCATTACCTGTGGATTTACGAATATGGTAGAAGTAAAATTTTCTGAAAATTCCAAATTTGAAAACGGTCTTATTTGGTATATATTTCAAAAACTGTGTGAACAATGTAGTAACAAGATCAGAATTACAACGACAAAAAAGTTACTAGACCCTATAACACATTTTTAAATGGAATTATCCGAAACAGACAAACACAAAAGACGTATTACGGAACATGAATCACAAAGGACACACCAATACAAAAACATAGTTACCTACTCACCTACACGTTAACGCGCATAGTTAGGTCAACAACCCCTAGATGTCATGGCACGCTGGTATTGACGCATGCAATGCTCCCACCTTTCTATGACTATCGCCAATGGGTGACCATTTGCATACTTACTTGGCGTCGGGGTTACCGTGATCAAGAAGGCGGTTCCTCCAGGACGAGACCCTTCCATTGCACTGAGGTAGGGACAAATCCTGCGATTATCCCTAAAGTGGATAAATCGGGCGCGCAATTTTTGGTAGTCGGGACTGCGTACGCGCTATCCCGGTCTAATGGAACCAGCAATCGAATAACGACATGCAGAATCGAGCATTCGAGCTAACATCAGGCATTAATTTAAAATGGGGTCTTAAGGTCATGTTATCAAAAAGTTTTAGAGTTTCGAGCAGCTGGATTTAATGAGTAATAGGAAAGGACAATGCTCACAGTTGTTTTGTTTTAAAAGTTGAATGGACGTAGTATACCCAATTACCCAAATAAAATTCTAAAGTCAAGTAAGCTAATTGTGTGAGATGACACGTTACGCGTAAGTGTTACAGTAATATTTTATCTTATGTAATTCTTATCTTAATGGTTTTTGTGTGATAATCGTATTGTTTTTATTGTAAGATTCTATAGTATAGATCTATTTTTCTTGACATTCTCGGAATTAACTGTTTGAAAATGTAGCCTTGAGAAACACTTATCTAAAAATGACAATGACATTGTGTGTCGCTCCAGAAAATTTTCAATTCAGTAAATTACAAAGCATCCATATTTTTTGTAAATATGGAAGAAAACCAGCCAGCGTGTAAAACAAATTTAACTAGAAAAAGAAATCAATATTGTGTTTGCTTTATTTATTTTTATTAGCAATTAGTAAATTCAGGATTCATAGTTACGACAGTTTATTTGAAAATCAAATAAAATAAAAATATTCGTTAATATATAGGGAAGTTTTATTAAAAATAAACGTTGACTTAGTAGTTATATAAAGTGACAAATATATATCATGCGACTTCCTTAGCTTGAAAAAATCAACTACCTAAGAAGTTTCAAAATTTTTTTGACGTCAGTTTAATAAGTTCCTTAATTCACTTTTTGAACCGTGACTTCAGCTACTACTGTCCCACTGACTTGCTTAAAAATTACTTTGATATAGAAAATCTAAATAATTTTTAGATTTTTGTGAGAAATTTTAACCACTTACTTCAGTAGGAAGTGTATACAAAGAATTTGAAACTGTCTTTGTATTTTGTATGCAATAAATAACACTACACCAGCGACAGGTAGAATCCTGTGCCAAGCACGTATATTTAAAGTTCGTCTTTCACTACAAAACAAGATTTGTAACAGCAGTAGGTATATATGTGTATTAAAAAATAAACGAAGCGTGATGAACCAAAAAAAGTTATATAAATAATAATGCCATTTGTTTTTTCTCTGTCTCAGTTCTTTCAATTATAACCTCTCTAATTTCATACTATAAATATTTAGTCACCACCCTGCTGTGGTGCTGTCCAATTCCTCATCATTACGCCAGAAACTGAGTGTTAATAAAATGGGTTCCATTTTGTTAGTTTAGAAATGTTGAAAAGATTGTATAATGCAACCAACATGACTCACATGAAAGTAAAGTGGAGTGAGTAAAATATTGCAGAGAAAGCTTCGTGATAATTAAATGTCACTTATCTACTAACTAAGTAATATTTTCAGGATATTTGTGTATTATAATTGCAAAATACACACAGGGGTGTGGCTTTGGTCACTAATAAGTGGTGAAAATATTACTTCTACTAAGCTTCTTTGACTTATTGGACCTCTTCTGCTTTTATTAATCATTGGAGCTAAATAATCTTAAAAATTGATGTTTCATACCTTTAAAAAAAAATGGTCTAAAATTATCTACATCTTGGCCTTCAAATACAGGCGGAGATATGCAGAATTTTGCGTATCTTATTTTTTATGATGACCCTTGTAAGTTAAAATAAAGATAACTGTGAACTTTTAATAAAGTACAGGTAAAGAAGCATATTGAGCGTATGTTTCAAGTGAATTTTCCCATAAGAAAATTTTGTCAACACGTCATCAACATTTCAGCAAATCACTGCATTATCAGTTTGAATAGATGCAGTGCAATATTAATAATAACAGTACTGCCTGTATAATCAAATTTTTGAGAAAATGAGGGGATTACATTAATAAACTAAATTTCCGCATTCATTAATTTTTTTAGTCGCCCTGTATAAGTTATTCAAAAAAATATGAATGCATTGGTAAAACACAAATTTCATAATATTTTGTATATTTTAGACTGGAGTTATTCGGAAAAATTTTGAGATAACGTCACCAAATTTTTGGGAGGGGATGCATGAATAAATTGTGACCAATGGTTTAGCATGTTTACGATAACCTTAAAACGTTTTGCAACATTTCGGAGCTAGTTCTCCTCCTTGTAGTTTTAAAGTCAAATTGCAAAATGTTGTATTTTAAAGTTATCATAAGCATGGTAAATTTTTGATCAAAATGTATTTACTCACCCCCCCTAAAAAATTTATAACGTCACCCCAAAATTTTGCTGAATAAAACCTGTCTAAAATGCACAAAATATGATGAGACAATACTTGTGATTTATCATTCCATTCAAATTTTTTGGATTTGCATATACAGGGTGACTCAAAAAAATTAATGAATGCGGGAATTGCAAGGACTACAGAACCGAATGCTTTCAAATCTTGGAGATGTTTTAAAGTTATCATAGGCATGGTAAATGGTTAGTCAAAATGTATTTCTTCATCTTCCCTAAAAAGTTTATGACGTCACCTCAAAATTTTGCTGAATCTATCTAAGCTATCTTAAATGAGACAATACTTGTGATTTATCACTACATTAAAATTTTTGGGATTTACTTATACGGGGTGTCCCTAAAAAATAATGATTGATTAAATCAAGAATCGCAAAACTGAATACTTTGAAATCTTGCAGGCGTTTTGAAGTTATTGTAAGAATCTTAACTTTTTAATCAAAATGTATCTGTTTATCAACCCCAAAAAGTTGGTTACGTCATCTCAGAATTTTACCGAAAAAATTCTTTCGGGAATGGGCAAAATATGATCAGACTATACGTGTAATTTATCATTGCATTCATATTTTTAGATTTGCTTATACGGGGTGTCTCAATGAATGACATTCCCTCAAAATTGTCTCTAATAAACAGAACCTGAATTGCATAATATATTATATTATCACGCTTGTGGTTCATGAATCCCCCTGCTTTTGAATTTTATTATTATTATTACAATTGTTATTGTTTAAACATCGTTTGCTTTTGCCACTTAATTAATACGTGTCTTCGCAAGCGCGGCCGGTGGCTCAGCGGAGGTGGAGTGTGCATAGCAGTTGGAAGTCCCGGTTACGGATCCCAGCCCTCACGTACAGATGTTGCTTGGCCCGAATAAGCGGCGGTGGCAGACAAAAAGTACATACGCACGTTTAAAAAGAACATGAACTGTGACTGATTTTTTAAATTTGCTTATACGGGGTGCCACAAAAAAATGAATGTCTGAGTCAATTTATTTTATTTATTAAATCATGATTTGCAAAACTGAATATTTTTAAATCGTGTACACGTTTTGAAGTTATTGTGAGCATGGAAACATTTTAATCAAAATGTATCTGTTTGTCAACCTCAAAAAATTGATTACGTCATCTCAAAATTTTGCCAAATAAATCCTTTCGAAAATGTGCAAAATATGATCAGACCATAATTGTAATTTATCATTGCATTCATATTTTTTAGATCTGCTTATACAGGGTGACTCGAAAAAATTAATGAATCAGTCAAGTTATTATTGATCAAATTACGAACGAGCCGTGACTTCCAGAGTGAAAGCGAATTTATTGAAATATCCCGTCACAGAACTCTATTGAGAAGAATCTATGATAGACATAAAGACACGGTTCTGAAAGCGAGGGAAGTACTGTCTCAACTCTTTGGACCAATTTTTTGTTGTTGTATTCAATTGTAACTTTTTAAAATCATTTCAAAATTAGGTTTTTGTTTTTATCAGTATCAGGTAAGAAAAACAGGTAAATAAATCTAACGCTGAATCTATTTACCTTCACAGTTTCAACACGTGGAAATGATTTGTTGGGGTAACATATAACCGTAGAAGAAGTGGACAACTATGTACATTATCTAAGTTAATTTTATTCGGATTTACTTATAAAGTTTAAGATGACGTCATTAATTTTTTTCATTGATGAATCAACAAGTTGTGGTTCGTGTTTAATCATCTTTACAACAATGCTAAAAGTACACCTAAATTTTTAAAATTGTCAATTCTTTAGTTTTGATGTTGTTTGTTCACCCAATAAACAGTAAGCAGATACAATAAACGACAGATTCAGGTGGTGGACAGATGGTTAACAGTAGACGACAGAGATCAAAACCTGCAGTTTCCTATTCTGCACAATGATCATATTATAATATTTACCTGACTACTACTTGGAAAGTAAAATAATGCAAGTTGTTTAATTATTACTAATAGTTTTAAATTTTTGAATGTTGATTTTTGCTAAGATGTAGACTATTTTTTTTTTCATTGAGTGTTTTATAACAAATATCATTTCAGATAATTTGTAGGATTCAGACTGTTTGGTACTTTCTTTTATAAGAATATTAACACTTAAAGTTTTCCCTTCAATTGGCTAGGGCAGTGTTTAACTGTCTCAGTGTTATGGACCCCCATTTGTACCTATTATTTTTGTAATAATCAGTCTATTATTATTAAGTTATAATCTCTAAAGTTAATAAGTCGAGTTCACAAGTTTCCACTGTTTGTATTTAATGTTTGTATTCAGTGACTGTATTTATATTTGATAGCTAGTAATTCTTCGTAACTCATGTGACTGTTATCAGAGATCAAGTATTGTACTTTCTTTGTTATAAAAGTGTTAGCAGTGTGAACGCAGGGATCATTAAAAGATATTAAAGTTAAACGTCGATAGTTAACAGTGCCCGGTAGAATTTGTAATCACGACATAATCAAGAATTTGTAGTATTTAAGTGAAAAGATTTGGTTTAAGTTATTAAACTTCCCCACGTGAGTAAAATCACCTGGTGAATAAAAAAAGTGTCTTCTGATAAATTGAAAGAACCCTTTGTTGTGGTCGAGGCCCACAACATCAGGCAAGCTTTGTCTATTAAAGCAGTGTTCTGCAAATTAAATATTTAAAATTTAACAGTGTTGTTCATTATTATTTTTATTTATGATGGAGTTAACTGCCTAATTAATTGTGTCGAAAGTTAATATCAGTATATCTTGAAGTTTGCTTATTGGTTCAAACGCCAAGATGAATTTACAGGAATAGAGACCTCTTGAAGAGTTTGGGACTGCGGAATGTCGTACGATGTTGATGGATATCAAACTTGTTTCGTGGTAACGCCGTTTGCAAAATCAAAATACAGGAAAGCTTTGTTATTCCTTAACAATAATTTTATGTGTAATTTTCTCCGCGTTCCAAATACTGTAATACATATAAAATTTTTTTATAATTTGTGTTCGCTTCCAATGTTTTATTTCTTTAGTCTGTTTTTAAAGCCCTGCATGAGTTTCAGAAATAAATTGAAATATGCATCTTTTTATCTTAACAACGGGAAAACTATTGTACATGCATACCATAATTTCTTATCAGTACATTAAGATTGTCTTTGATACTACGTATCTGCAGATATCTCCTGCAACATTTTATAAAACAATCTCGCCTTAAAAAGTAAGTAGTGAATTGATGATACTGACATGGCGGCGACAAACGATAATTCCAACAACGAAATAACATTTTGGTTGAAAGACGTGTTTAAGAATGAAAATTTAAAAGTTAACGTATTAGGAAATTCGGAAAAAGGAGATGGTTACATGGGTGACGTAGTTTTCGTAACAGCAGAGGGAACTGGAGACGATAACTCAAAAAAGAAATACGATCTAGTTTTGAAATGTAGCAAGAAAAGTCAAGCCTTACGTGACTCATCTCCAGTGAAGCAGATTTTCCTGAATGAAATATATATGTATCAGACTGTGTTTCCGTATTTTATACAATTCCAAAAGGAAAATGGAGTCAAAGTTCCATTTAATAACATTCCAAAATGTTATGGTTCTTTCATTGGGGAAAATATGGAGGTAATTGTACTGGAAAATCTTAAGAGCAGTGGCTACGAATTATGGCCTAAAGGAAACCCTCTGTCGAGAAAGCACATTGATATGGTAGTTACGCAATATGGTAAATTTCATGGTACTTCCTTGGCTATGCAAAACCAACGACCTGCAGAATTTCAAAATTTCGTCGATACCACGGTAAATTTTTTTAAGGATCATGAAATGAAAGATGCCATAAAAACTCTGTATTCGATACCTATTGATCAAGCGTATGAAGTACTCAAGGATGATTTGCAAGCCAACATTCTTCAGAAGTGGAAAGGATTAAAGGATCAAGTAGATTCCATTTTCGGAAATCGACCTGAAAATTTACCAGGAGTTAAAGTGATATCGCATGGTGATTGCTGGAATAATAACTTCATGTATTTGCATCAGGTAAATTTAAAAAATAACTTGATTGGGAATTAAGGGTTTTGTTTTTAGAAAAGTGTGGAAAAAATTCCTGTAAACGTGGCATTTTTGGACTGGCAAGTGGCAAGATACTCCTCACCAGTTATGGATATATCTTATTTTCTGTTTTGCTGTATTTCAAAAGATGATCTGGAAGAATTGGACGATATCTTAGTTACATACCACAAAGCTTTTATTAATCAGTTGAAGCAATTAGGTGTGAAGGACCCTCATGTTGTGTATCCCCTTAGACAACTTTTGAACGACTGGAAAAGTTATTCTAAATTTGGCATTTTATCAGCTAATTTAGTACTGAAAATACTTAGTGCTGAAAAGGATGAGGTTATGGACATAGGTGACGTTGCCGAAACGGGAAAAAATTTTACAGCAGCTTTTCACAATGAGGTTAGAGACAAGGAAAATTACAAGAGACGAATTCGCCCTATTGTAGAATATGCTGTCAAACATGATTTAGTATAGTTTTTTAGGAGCTACGCTAAATATTTTTACTCTGACTTGACTCGTGTTTATTTTTGAATTAAGTTTCACGGATGTGTAAATATATTGCAAACACTATTAAGTCAAATTGTATGCATATTACGTGTGTATGTTCAGTACATAATACAGGGGTACATACATGATCTTCAAGTTTTTTTTTTCTTTGGTAAACCTACTAACAGTATTTTGTGTATTCATTTTCACATTTTTTAATGCGGTTTCGCGGCGGGAAATTTAAATTTTCAAATCGGGACACCATAATGGATGTCCAGTTTTTAAAAATGAATTTATCCAAAGCATAACTAAATAAACTGAATTTATTTGTCTGGATATTAATGATTTAGTTCTATTGCAATTGCATGGAGTCTCCCATGTTCTGTAATTTTTAATTCATCTCCAAAGATTTTCAGTTTTTGGAAAAAGGTTTAATGTACGAAATTAACAATATGGAAATGCGTATTTGATCTTACTTTGACTTTTGCAAACTCAGGTAAATTCATACGAAGTTATTAATTTTTTTGGTATTTTTTTTTACAGTAGGAGGGCTTCTAAACCACATTTTTTGTGGGAGAATTTTGCTCATGCGTAATACCTATATAATCCCGCATTTGGTCTTCGTAAATTGTCCTACCAAAAATAGAATCCACATTCACCCTTTCCATCCTAGTGTGGCTTTAAATTTTCTGTTTGGTATTTCGTTAAAAGTACGATTTGATTTGCTGGAAAATTTGCTTCGTATCTTCTTCTAGCTCCGCTTTTACCACTCCAAATTTTTTATAAGTGCTTCTGGAACAGCTAAACTGGGACACACAGTATTCGTATTTCTTAACGTCGTCACAGAATAGTAATTTACACAACTAGTTCGGGATAGCCTGCTTCCCGCATGAACGCTTGTTTGCGGCACGACCGAAGGGAGTGACGCATTTGCGTGAATGCGGGAAGCAGGCTCACGAACGTGTTGTGTACAATATTTTTTGCAACGAATAAACGTTTAAACTGAAGAGATTAACTGTGAGTTATTTATAAACAACGGCATTGACAGCGCCGTCAACACATCACAATGTTGACACTACTCGAGTATTTTAAGGTTACCATGGCAACGGGAAGTTAAATGCACGTGTGCGGGAAGTTCGACCTCCCGCACTCTGGTGAATGCGCGAAAGCTATCAAAAAAGGTCATGAGTGCAAAAAATACTTTTTTGCACTCATGACCTTTTTTGATAGCTTTCGCGCATTCACCAGAGTGCGGGAGGTCGAACTTCCCGCACACGTGCATTTAACTTCCCGTTGCCATGGTAACCTTAAAATACTCGAGTAGTGTCAACATTGTGATGTGTTGACGGCGCTGTCAATGCCGTTGTTTATAAATAACTCACAGTTAATCTCTTCAGTTTAAACGTTTATTCGTTGCAAAAAATATTGTACACAACACGTTCGTGAGCCTGCTTCCCGCATTCACGCAAATGCGTCACTCCCTTCGGTCGTGCCGCAAACAAGCGTTCATGCGGGAAGCAGGCTATCCCGAACTAGTTGTGTAAATTACTATGAAGTTTTCGTTTTGATAAAGTAATGTTCAGCCAAACTTTTTATTTTTTCTCACTATATTTGGAATCTCTTGTAACTCACTAAGAACGTTACGAACATGTCGAATTTGTTAACTTAGTTTCATACCTAGTACAGTAAAACCTGTCTATGCCGGAATCGCGCGGGTCCAAAATTTTTATCCGTCTTAAACAGGGTTCCGGCTTTTACAGGAAACCCGGCTATGACGGAAAGTAAACCTCTATAAAACGGAAATCAATTTTTATTAAATTGAATACATAGGTACATATAAAAGAATTATTTGAAATAGTTGTTTATTGTTATTTGCTTTTTCGGCCATTAAGATATATTTTCCATGCTTGTTCTCAACTGCAAAAGGTTGGCTACACACTCACCGCTTTGCCATTACTCTCTAATTTATTTTAGGATATGTCTTATAATTTGATACACTTGCGTTTTTTACAACCGAACTTTTGCAAATTTCTTTAACACACAAATTTTGCTGCTCGTGTACATTAATTAAATCCATTTAGTTGTTATTGTTGGTCGTTTTTTGGGCCATTGTGAACACACATATAGGTACCCACGTGAGACACCAATTAAATGAGAATTGAGAACAGTGATTTTCTGTTGACAAAAAATGCACCTGCAGGTCCACGAATTGAATTATATATTTTTCGTAGAAATCATTAACTTTGTTCTCGCTTCCGTTTTACACAGATTTGGGTGCATGTATTTTGACACGTTGGGACTTACAAATATTTTCCGTTTCCGCGTTATACAGTTTCCGTCTTATACGGACCAAAATACATTAAATTAGGTATTTAAGTTTTCCGCCTTCTACAGAGTCCGGCATAGACAGGTTTCACTGTAGCAGGAAATGGCAGTTGTTTATAATTTAGTATAATAAATATGATTTTTTAAGGAAGATTTATAATTGATTATTTCATATCGGCTGTAGGATAGGAAGTAAAACGCGAAGATACCTTAGATCTTTGATGTCTTTAAGACGTGGTGTGGCGTTTATACTTTAAAAGTTTGGTGTTGGTGACTCGCAGGTCGTTTTTAATTGTGATCTGAGAAATATTTCGCTGTTTGTGCAGGAGTTTCTCGTGTGTCTTCGAATAATAGCCGAAACTTCAGTGTACTTTGAAGTTTTGTCTAAAAAGTCAACTCGAATTACAGCAACTTTAAGAACTCTGACTCTCGCGTCGTCTCTTACCTGATTCTTTTCTCGGGTTGTTCATTACAACAACTCTTTTGACTGTCTTTTAAAGCGACGCTTATTTCCATTACGTTTCACTCGTAACTAAAAATATTTTAAAGAACAGTATTTTTTGTGTAGGGGAACGAGGGACTTGTTGTAACAGTTTTTAGGAAAATGAATATAATTTGGTATCTATTAGCTGTTTGACCATTATAAAAGTATCTATCGGTAGTCTAACTATTCCCCTGAACAGGCAAAAGGTCAAAATTGTTCATCTTCACTTCACACCAGGCATTTTCTTAAAAAAAGTGCAGTGTTACAACTTGCCCCATGGTTGGGGCTAGTTGTAACAGCCATGAGACAGGTAGTAACAGTAAAAATGAAGCTGATGTTGATACATATTTAGACATTATTTTTCAAAAATCAACACAACACTTCATTATATACAATTTTTTTTCAGTAAAACTGAACTAAACTTTTAGAAGAAGAGTCAACATTAAAGATTTGAGTTTTGTCTTCCTTTTTCTTAATATATCTGGAAAGCAATATATGGCATAGGTCAAAATTTTGGCTCGCTTTTCGTATGCTAGGTAAGAGATTTGTAGAAGTGAATTTGGGATAAGTTGTAACATGTTACAACTTGCCCCAAGCGTATTGTTACAACATGCCCCGTAGTACAATTTTCTACATTTAAATACATTTCGACAAAATTATGTGGCTTAGCGTCAAAATGTGTAACGAATATTAAAGCTGAGTAATTTTTGAGCTACATGCAAAACTAAGCGTTTCAAATTAATTAATAACTGATACGAAAAACCAAATTTTACTAAAGTAATATTTTACATTACTTGGCCAAAACGAAACATGTGCACACATCCACTCACTGCGTTGGCTGAAGGAACAGTGGTTGTGATGACATGATGTTTTATGGTGCAAGAATTAAATTCAGTAAAAAACCTGACGTTAAAGAGTTTAAATTCTGGGTAAAAATTTAGTGTTACAACTTACCCCTGTTACAACAAGCCCCTGATTCCCCTACTTTAAAATCATTATGTAATGTTGTAAAAAAAGTTTGACAAATAAAAATTGATGAGGAAAGTAACTTCTTATGTAGAAGGTTTACTATATTTTAAACATTTTATAAATTTTACTTGTCGCTGACAAGTATAATTATACCAAATTATTCCACATGGCTAAATAGTACAAACACTTGTTAGATTTTATAAAATTCGTGTATCTTGTTGGTTAGAAATTTTAGGAGTAATTTTTTTTCTTTCGAATACTATTAGTGTGAGATAAAGAGCATTCACTATACACTCGTATATGATCTAAATCACCCTTTTATAATGGTTAACTTATTAAATCAGAATACAATTTTCCAAGGTCAACAATAGATTCTTACTTAATGACAAAATAAAGTATTAATTTTATCTGTGCAATTAACTTTCGCCGATTGCATTTATCTATTTTCTTTTAATCTTTATTTTAGATCTTTTTGTCTTAAAACAAAGTAAACACTTTATATCAATTGTGATATGTATGTATATTAATCTTGTGACTGATACGCATCTATGATATCACTTTTAATATTATATAAAACCATTTTATCTTAAAAAGTGTGTAGTGAATTGAGGTATCGATATGACGGCGACAAACGAAAATTCCGTCGATGAAGTAAAATTTTGGTTGAAAGACGTGTTTAAGGATGAAAATTTAAAAGTTAACGTATTAGGAAATTCGGAAAAAGGTGATGGTTATATGGGTGACATAGTTTTCGTAACAGCAGAGGGAACCGGAAAGGATAAATCAACAAAGAAGTATGATTTAGTTTTAAAATGTAGCAAGAAAAGTCAAGCGTTACGAGACAACTTTCCAGTGAAGGAGGTTTTCCTGAATGAAATCTATATGTACGAAACGATATTTCCCTATTTTTCCAAGTTCCAACAGGAAAAGGGAATAAAAGCTCCATTTGACAGCTTTCCAAAATGTTATGGTTCTTTTACTACCGAAAATATGGAGGTTATTGTATTGGAAAATCTTAAGAGGATTGGTTATGAATTGTGGCCAAAAAGAGATCCCTTGTCGAGAAAGCATATCGATATGGTAGTCACGCAATATGGTAAATTTCATGCTATTTCCCTAGCTCTTCAAAAGGAACGACCTGCCGAATTTCAAGAATTTGTTGACACACTAACAAAGTTGTTAAAGAAATTTGAAATAACAGATAATGTAAAAACCCTTTTGTCGACCCCCGTCATTGAATCATATGAACTGCTCAAAAATGATTTGAAAAACGACATCCTCCAAAAGTGGAAAGGATTAAAAGATGAGGTAGATTCCTTCTATAAAAAATCACCCGACACTTTACCAGGGCTTAAAGTGATATCACATAGTGATTGTTGGAATAATAACTTCATGTATCTGCATCAGGTAAATTAACAAAATGAGGTGGTTATAAATAAAGTGTTGTTTTTAGAAAGGCGACTTGAAAATTCCCTTGAAAGTAGCATTTCTTGATTGGCAAATGGCAAAATATATGTCTCCCATTATGGATCTATCCTATTTTTTGTTTTCTTGTATTTCAGAAGAAGATTTAGAAGAATTAGACGATATTTTAATTACGTACCACAAGTCTTTTATTAATCAGTTGCATGAATTAGGCGTGAAGGATCCACGTGTTGTGTATCCGCTCAGACAACTTTTAAACGACTGGAAAAGTTATTCTAAGTATGGCGTTTTGTCAGCTAGTTTGGTTCTCAAGATAATTCATACAGGGAAGGATGAAGTCAAGGATATAGGTGATGTTGCCGAAAGTGGACAAGATTTTACTGCAGCATTTGACAGTAAAATTAGAGATACGGAAAATTACAAGAAACGTATTCGCCCTATTGTAGAGTATGTTGTTAAACATGAATTAGTATAATTTTTTGTAAGTTGTACTAAATATAGTTTGCCTCATATTTATTGTCTTTTTACTTAAGGATAAGAATCACGGATGTGTTGATATATTGTAAACATTGTTCAGTAGTTTCTCGAAACAGAGTGTACGAATCTTTGTTTTTTCAAGATTCAATAAGTGATGGACGGTACAGGCAAAAATGTTTGCAACAATTCATACACCAACTGGGTGATGAAGAATTTCGTTTAGGTTACTTCCAACAAGGTGGAGGAAGAGCATAAGTGTTACAAATTGACACGAATACTTAAACGAACGAATAAAAAAAAGAAATAAAGTCCGTGCGTTTAGAGATAAGGACCATGATTCATCATCATCTGACAAATAGAATTCAACCAGTGGCGGAACAGTAAGTTTAGCTGTAACGGTTGAAAAGTCGTTACTGTTTTGTACATGGAGGTTTTGTAGCATTATTTTTATTTTTCCTAAGCTAAATGCAAGTCGCTGTCTCTCTGTAGTATTACTGGTTGCCCACATTCGCTTCGCGATAATTTACTTAATAGAAATTATCTAAAAGACCCCAACAAGCTCATGGCCTTTTTGGCCCTGTGAGGGGGCTTACAATATCTCGTCGGTAGTACCCTGACGTCGCTTGGTACCGCAGGTTCCCTATCTTATAACCGAAAAAAAAACAACAATTTCGCGTACGATGGAGTTTGTCATGCCTTTGGCGGTCTATTTTTTTATTTTTTTGAAACACTTTGAGACTTTTTGCCAAGTGGACTGGCAAAGCCACTTCGTCTCTATTATCCGTCCCACAGGATGTCGAAATTGGCCCCCGGCATCCTATTTTCATCGCCTCTGTTCCTTTGTGTCGTTTGTTTCTTTTCAGTCGTTAACCCTTAATAATGAAATATCTTTCTGGCCCTGATGCTTTCGTCAGTTTGGTAACTTCTTCTGATAGGCCTTCAACTGTGGTTGCTTTTTCGCTATAACCTATAACTCTTTGTTTACATTTTTATTTGTCAACTTTGATCCACCCTCCCCTTTTGAGGTGAGTGAAGCGCAGGCGTGGAACCTATAGGATAGCCAAAAATCTTCCAGACTCTTCTACTGGCTTTTTTCTTGTGGAGAGCGAGAGCGGTGTGCTGTGAATTTTTGTCCGTGCCATTGAGGCATCTTCCCATTATCTCGCTAATTACCTCTGGAAGGAGGATCTCTCTCTCTCGTTCCTAGACGCTTGGCACAAGCTGGGTCTCTTCATTTGTCCACGTCACTTTCGATTTTCGAAGTCGCCTCAATTTTCTTTTCCACTCTCGCCTGCCTCGTAATTGCTTTCTAGGCCCAGTGGCCCGGAACCCTTAATTGTTAAGGGTTCTTCTTCCGGACGGCTCCTCTCCTGGACGGTTTCCCTCGCAGTTGCTTTGATTATTATCTTTGGATGCCCCTGGACGGACTTTGAATGCACCCATAGCACCCGACGTTGGAATTTCCCGGGGATAAGTACCATCATGCGTCGCATTGCGTCTTGCCGTTTTTATTATACCACCTAAGTTGACGATTTTTGCCAAACTCGGTAGCCTTGTACCAACCCTATAATTTATATTTATATATCATATATTAATCGTCATCTATCCTCGATACTTTGTAATAGCTCATTCTTATTTAAACACCTATTCAATTCAATCTTAATTATTAAAGTACTCCGAATGTAAAACTAACGCGGTGCACCGACGTCAGTTACCGGATGTCATTATGCTGTGAATTAAGTAACCTATTTTAACTTTTAGAATACCATTTATTTCTTGAGCATTAGACATAAGTAGAATTAACCTTTGTACTTCGGAATATTCAGAATATAGCTTTCTTTTTTTATCATTCTTATTGCGGCTTAAGGGCCGAGGCCCACGACCCTCGTCCTAGCCTGTTACTGTCGTGATGCATGCTGGCGCCCTTCCTTTCCCTCCAACCATCATGAAAAAACATCATACCAAAAAAAATAATACAACAACCCCGAGACTCACGACGTTTGCCAACGAAGAGCTGCCGGAGCTGTGACCTATCTAAGGACTTTGGTCACTAGGTAGGTAGCATAGTAAAGAGGGTCGTTCGTACACGTTTTTTAAAAAAACTGTTTAAATTTGCTGTGGATCTTTATTTTATATTAAATGTTGTTGTTAATGTTTTTTCTTTATTTTATTGTTTTATAAAATATCAAACATTTCTAAATTTATCAATCGGAAGTATGCCATACTTCATATTGTTGCTATGGTGTTACCGTAAAGTGAACTTGAATTTGGCTCGTGAGTGTACTATATAAAGTACATTAAAACAAAAACAATACGAATTACTACAAAATTTATTGTACTATATGTAACAAGTATTTATAACAGCAATTAATATCTGTTATTAAAATGATATAGCCAATGGTTCTACGCCTTCGATTTCTATAGTTGAAGGTTTCCCTTCTTCATCGCTTGAGTTTAAATTCCATTCGTCGTCAGACTCACCAGAAAAACCGTTTTCTAAATCGCAACTTATATCAAAAGAACCCATCACAAAAACATAAACACAAGTAAACACTATGAAAAATATTTAACGAATTGACATCAGAAAAAACCGTCAGCTTTGACTAGAATTACTAGAAACCGTGCGTTCCGCTTTCTAAATGTATACGTAGTTACCAAAAGTTATATTTTGTGTTGCGACTTTATAAATAAGTTTTCGTTATTTAATTTTCTCAGTTACACCCATATATTTTGACAGAAGGCTAATAAAACCTGGTCATGATGCAATCGTTACTTACTAACTCTGCTAAACGTCGTAAAATTTGAGTGGATCAAATGTAACGTTCTGAGTATATTTACTACTTCTATTGCGGTACCGTATGTTGCTGAATGATTAGTTAAATATATAACGGGGGTTCAAACAGTTTTCAGATTAGAGTTGGCCATGGAAATATTTGTCATGTCTTTGATTAAACTGTAAATGTCAGGCATAACCTCATTTGTATTTCAATAATTTCGATTTACAAATAATTTCGGAGGCTTGCACGGTCGAAATCAATACATGATCGCTTTCCGGGTTGGAACCGTGTTAATTATTCTTAACTCTGCTCCTGAAGATGCCACTTACGAAAGTGTGCGAAACGTTGAATCCAAAAACTCAATTAACATGGTTCCCACCCGGAAAACGATCATGTATGGATTTATAAAATTTTGTAATTTGTTGCAGTTACATTAATAATGGTACAACCGTTCTTGATGTATTCGTATTCTATGAAACGGAATAGAGAACCTTGTAGGTGAATAATTTTTATAAAGGGCTACTGTTGGTTTGACTTCTTGAGCGTAAGCTAAGGTAGTACATATTGCGTCCATCAGGCGACTCGCTGCTATTACATCTTCTCGACGTTTCGGACTATCTGTCTGCCGTTTGCTGTCTTTCCGCGTTGGGATAGATTTGTAGTTTATGAATCCGTGTTGAGTTTTTACCCTAGGTATCCATTTTGTAAAAAGAAAATGTACAACAACAATTTACAATTAAACTTGTATTGCAAAGCCGAATGTCACTGTTTACGACCTCACTAAAACTAATGACGTCATCTCGGAATTTTGTCAAATAAATCCTATTTAAAATGTAGAAAACATGATGAGTCTATACTTGTGATTTATCATTCCATTCATATTTTTTAGAATAACTTATACCCGGTGTAATTTTTTTCAAAAGCTGGATATGTTTTTGTATTTCAAAGTCCCAGCATATTTTTTTTTTGTTTTATGTTCACAGTGTTTTTATTTTTTACAGATGATTTATAAAATTTTATGAGATAAGCAACATTGAAGACACGCCAGGCGGATTTCAATAATACGAAAGTTATCTTTGATATAATTTATCGTATAAAAAGTATGACTAACGTTTGAAATTCAGTACTTATTGAGTATCCTTGTTAATCTCACGATATATTTGTTCGCAAACATATAAATTCTAACGACTTTAGAAAACAATTATTAGTGATCTGACGAACTGAACATGGCTTTGACTAAAAACGATTGTGAAAACGAAATCCGATCGTGGTTAGAGGATGTGCTAAAAGATGAAAATTTAAAGAACTTATCGGTTAAACTACAAGGAAACACGGAAAAAGGAGAAGGTTACATGGGTGAGATAGTATTTGTATTGGCTGAAGGAACCACTGATGATCATTTGACGAAGAAGTATGATCTTGTCTTGAAGTGTAGCAAACGAAGTCAAGCTTTGCGCGAAACCGTAGGGGTTAAGGATGCCTTCATGATTGAAATTTTAATATATCAGAAAGTTTTGCCATATTTTATCCAATATCAAAAAGAGAAAGGTGTCAAAGATCCTTTTAACAGCGTACCAAAGTTTTACGGCTGTTATATTCAAGACGACCTGGAAGTTATAGTTTTTGAAAATTTGAAAACTATGGGTTACGAACTATGGCCCAAGAAACAGCCATTATCAAGAAGACACATTGATCTAATAGTTACAGAATACGCTAAATACCATGCGACGTCTGTAGCTGTACAAAGTGAACGACCAACGGAATTTCAAAAATTCATCGGTGCTATGCCTAATGGTATGAAGAAATTTTTAGAAACAGGTGACTTTCAAACGCTTTTTGAAGCGCCTATAATTCAGTCGTATGAACTGCTCAAAAATGATTTGGACGACAACGTGTTGTCACGATGGAATGGGTTCAAAAATCAAATTGGAACTGTTCTTCGAACTGCTGCCAATGAGTCAACTGGACTGAATGTAATTGTGCATGGTGATGCTTGGAGCAATAATTTCATGTTCCTGCATGAGGTACTTATACATTTAGTGTTAGTTTTGAATAAAATTTATATTTTTAGAAAGGCGAAGAGAAAATTCCTTTGAAGGTTGCGGTTTTGGATTGGCAAGTGACGAGGTACGCTTCTCCAATTGTGGATTTGTCATACTTTTTGTTTGCTTGTCTTTCCAAAGAAGATCTGGACGACTTGGACGATATTTTGCTTATGTACCATACAACGTTTGTAAATCACTCGGTCCAGTTAGAAAAACCGGATACGTTGTATCCCTTAGATCAATTTTTGGCTGAGTGGAATCAGCATTGTAAATATGGCATTTTGATGGCCAGTTTATTAATGAAGATTGTGTCTACTGAGAAAGATGAAGTTATGGATATAGCTGAAGTGGCTGAAAGTGGAGAAGATGTTATTAACACTTTTATAATTGAAATTCGGGACAAAGAGAATTACAAACGAAGAATTCGACCAATTGTAGAATATGTTGTTAAGCACAATTTAATATAATTTGTGTATTTCACGTAGTAGGAAACTATATGTTTGATAAATATATGTCCTAGTTTTAATATATCTAATGTAACAGTAGTTGTAACCTGCTTGTATCTTTTATTAATTGCGGTTAAAACCAACAGAAATAAGCTTAACTTTTTAAAGATGTTTACCAGACCTCATATTCGACAGTTGCAGCCGTAAAATTAGAAGGGTTAATATTCACACGAAACATGATTAGTCAAATTAACTTTTTTTTTAATAAAATTTTATTTCAAATTTTTGTCAAATGAAGATAAGGAGCGATCAAACATTCTCTAAAGTCAGGAGATTCGTATATTATAAGCTATACATCGATGTGGTTTTAGCCACAATTTAATGTGGTAAAAATTTGGGCCATAGCGTCACTTAAACGTCCACATTATATCATCTGTCACTTGTGTCGTTCTGTTTTGACACGTAAATTCAGTGGCTAAAGCTTAAAAATTTTGACAAATTAAGTGTACTTAGTGCAAATCCAATTTGTCGTTAAGTTTTTTCTATGTTTACGTGTCCCTAGAACGTATTATCCATTCACGATCTTTATATAGTAAAGTAGGCTTTGATATTTTTTCTTTAAGTTGGATAAACTGATTTGATGATTTAGTTTTTTATCTGTCAGTAGTCTGACTGACATTTGCTTTCAGCTGGATTGCCACTTTTCTACTTCATTTATTAGATCAGAATTATTAGACGCAATAATTTGTCATTGCGACAGACTCACAGATCATTGCCACATTATTTAAAAAGAAAATGCCTAAAATAGTTTTACTGCAATAAAAAGATGTTTTTTACAATTTCGAAAAGACAGCGCCGATCTTTCTTTCGAAAAAGTGATTATGAGGGTCCGGAACATATTTTCTGTAATGTAAAAATACGCTGCAAAATATTTTTTATTTTTTTTTCTCATAAGTGGGAACATCAACTGTGGCGAAAATTTTATCAACAGGGGACCAAAATTTAACATCATCACTATCTGGCAAGCGAAAACCAACGAATTTATTTACAGATTATATGTTTCGGAAAGACCTGCAACGACAAATTTGGCAACTCAATGAAAAAAAAACGAATATTTCACTGTAGATACTCTTTTGGCATATTCTAGGGAACAGTTGGAATTTAAAGGGGGGCGAACCACATTATACAAAGTTCTTAAGTCAATGGGTTATAAACACAGGAAAGTAAATGGTCGCAAAATTCTGTGAAAATGTGAACAAAAACATGTCGTTGTAGCCAAAATGACTTTTTTGAGAACATATTTACAGTTTCTAAATTCTTGTGAAAATTTGACTTTCGTGTATTTGGATGAAACATGGATCTATCAAAATGGTTCGTCCATTCGTCGCTGGGTGCACGATACTGATCTAAAAAGCAGTCCCACCAAAATTAAAAGTGAAGGATCAAGGTTTACTATTCTCCACGCGGGTTGTTCAACGGGGTTCTTGGATGGTTACAATTTTTTAAATTCAAAAAATAACGATAGAGACTATCATAAAACGATGGACGGGACAATTTTTCAAAACTGGGTGGTTAATCAGCTCATTCCTGCTTTGGCAAAGTTGAACCAAAAATGTGTGGTGGTTTTAGACATGCACCGTATCAATCGGTTCAGTTGGATAAACCACCCACTTTTTAAAAAATGTGAAATGCAGGAATGGCTTTTTACCCTTAGTGTTGAATTTGACAAGAAATTTTCGAAGAAACAGTTGTGGGATTTGGTTAAACCCTTCAGAAACAATAGAAAAAAAAGATATTTGGTAGACGACACATTAAGAGAAAGTGGCCATGAAGTTCTTAGATTACCACCGTACCATTGTCAATATAATCCAATTGAAATGGCGTGGGGATTTTGTAAGAACTATTACAACAAGCATATAAATTCTCAACCTTTATTAAAAAATAGGGTGGAGAATTTATGGCTTGAGCCGCTTTCTAAATGTACTCTAAGCATGTGGCAAAATTTTTGTAAATGTGAAGTGATGCAAATTTTATTTAAAATTAAATGTGTTTGTTACTAGTGTTTATTTGATTGGTAAATTTACCGCAAATAATGAAGGTGCCTATCATCGGTTAATAAACATTTCCTGACACGCCTTTCAATGCACAAGCAACTGATTGCAACACGGAAATTGAAACGACAGATGTTACAGTGACAATGAGTCTCTGCGTTTAAGTTGTTGTTTTCTAAGACCGGCATTCCCGAAAAAAAATCAACTATAGTATATTCAAGTGAAAGAATCAGTAATCAAGATGCGTGTTCAACTGCCTATAAGTCGACAAATTTGGGGGAGAGTTTTCCCAAGCCAGTTTTACACTGTAACTGTATCGATATTTTGTTGCCGGTGAGTTTCATTGTTGACCTGGCGTTGTGTCGTCTCTTTCCTTTCGTCGTTTGTGTTTTTGCTTGTTTTTATGCTTGTAACCTCCATCATGTCGGATGTTGGAAACATTATTTTGTCAAAATCAGAACTTGAAATTTTTCTACAGTGTAATACGGACTAGGCGCAGTAATCTTCCTCTCACTGGGCTCCAGAATGCATCATTCAGGTTTCACGTGATCACCATAGATTTTAACCTTATACTCTACTAGATGCGCAACTGCGCCGCGTAAAGTGAAGCCTATGGCGGCCATTTGTCAAAGAGGCAAAATACTGTAGAATCGTATTACGGTAATGGTGAAACTGGACGTTTCCTCCTGGTTTAAACCGATTTGTACACCCAAATGCGGAACACGATGCCGGCATATTTCGCTTTTAATAAACCAACACTTTTTGGAACTATACTTTAATTCACGTAATCATACACATTCACCCCCAATACACATGAAACAGTTCGCAACGTACATACATATACAGGGTATTTTTGAAATAGATGGAAACTTTTTTTAACGTAATTGGTCATGATGTAGAGAATTTATGCATCAAATATTGATCTAATAAAAATCCTTTAGTTTTCGAGATAACATTGATTGAAAATCTGTTAAAATTTGCGTGTGCGCTACTGATTCAAAAAATGTTAAAGGTAAATTTGATCACTATAGTAATTTAAAGTAGGTAAAATTGTTGCTTGTTAACATGACAATACATTCATTAGCCCATCATTTTTTGACGTTTTTGCAATTTTTTGGAAGAACAAAATGAATTTTTCTAATTCTGAAATGACTGACATGGTTCTGATGTATGGACAAGCCTTAAGAAACTCCTTGGAAGCTCGACGTTTATACCAAGAAGCATTTCCCGAACGAAGATTGCCAAATCATAAAACATTTGCTAACGTTGTTCAGTGTCTACGAGAAAATGGGAAATTTCAACCTCGTTTTAGTGATCGTGGTCGTGAAATGACAGAACGGACACTTGATGCCGAAGAAGAAATTTTGAATGTCGTTGAAAACGATCCAGGTATAAGCATTAGACGATTGTCTTACCGAGTGGGAGTTTCACCTTTTGTGGTGTGGAGAACTCTACATGAACAAGGCAACAATCATTGATTAGACGTGCGGAAGCGTGTATATGAAATGGTGGTCGACATTTTGAAAACTTGCTCTAGTTGCATACGTTACGTTTTGTTTCATTTTATGGTTGATTAAATTATGATTTTGAAGTTTTAATTGTCAGTTCATTAATTATTGTCATTGTTTATTTGTTGCTAGCAATAAATTAATAGCAACAGTAGTTACACCTCGGCAGTTTTCAGTTACTAGGTTTCACATTTTTTCGTGAAACCATTATTTATCAGTGGAGGAATGAATGTTTGGATAGGGGTTAAATTTTCCTTTCAAAATTTTACTAAAACAACAAACGTTCATTTGACTTCTTAGGTTCCCTACATTCACCAGATTTTTTGTTTCCATGTATTTCAATAACACCCTGTATTTAGCACTATTTTCCTAATATATTACCAAGCGATCATACATTGACAGCAATGTTTTGCCTTTCTGACAAATGGCGGCCACTCGACATTGAAGCTTCACTTCTCTCTGCAGCGCAGGGTTAGGTAGTCGGGTATCTAGGTAACTTAATTTAACATCTATGGTGATCACTGACTCTTTCGTTTCAACCAAGCGCGGATCCAGGGGGGGGGGCAATGGGTGCAATTAACACACGACCGAGGTACTTTATTTTGACCGATTTCCAAATTTAATCGCATTTCATTTTGTAAATACAGTACAACCTCTATAATCCGAATTCACGATTATCCGAACATCCAGAAATCCCAACAGAGGTTATTTGAAGTCGATGCTTCTTTAATCCAAACAAAAACTCTGCAATCCGAACTGAACTTGGAAACACGCACCTACTTGCAAAAATGACGCAAGATCTTTCTGCATATGTTATATGGAATATTTTGAAATTTTTAAAACTTGCGATATATCAGTGGACTGAATTAATTAACTAATTCTGGAAAAAAGGTTGAAGTTATTGAAGAAATGAGACCCGAAATCTACAAGAAAAAGTATTTAGTTCAATTTCGAAAGTCGTCGAAAATGGATCGAAATTTGGATGAAGGAAATTCGAGGAGGGTAGAATAAGACTATTCTACCCTCCTCGGGGAAATTCCATTTTTGAAAAAGTGTCCCAAAAATTCTGAAAAAATTCAGGGATATATGTATATCCCGACGTGCTGATTCCAAAAATATAGCATGTTAATGATAACCGAGCAATATTTTCGGAAAATTCGGTGTGAAATTCGAATTTTTTTTAAAAATTGCGATATTTCAACTGGACGAATCTGAAAAATAGTTTTAAGTTATCGAACAAATGAAGCCAGAAGTGACTTCTGAGACCCAAAATCTACAAGAAAATGGATTTAGTTAAATTTCGAAAATCGTCGAGAATGGGTCGAAATTTGCATAATGGTGGTAATACATAATGGAAAATTTCATTTTTGAAAAATTGATCTAAAAATTTTAAAAAATTCAGGGTATAGATCCTGGCGTGTTGATTCCAAAAAGATAGCGTGTTTATGGTGACGGAGTAATATTTTTTAGAATGTACATATCTATTATTATCCATTGTTGCTTAAGAATTCCCCCCTCCCCCCCCCCCCCTAAACGAAAT